CAAACTCAAATAAATAACCAAATGATGTACCTTGAGGTCTGAGAAAACAAGAACAATCAAAATCTAAACCTAGTACAAATGCAAATAGGAGCAGAAATAAATGAAATTCAAACTAAAAAATACCAAAAAAATCAATGCATCAAAAAGTTGGTTCTTTGAAATAATAAACAAATAGACAATTCCTTATCTAATCTTACCAAAATAAAAAATGAACAGACACAAATCCATGCAACTACAAATTAAAAAAGGTAAAATCACAATATATTTTGCTGAAATCCAAAAGATCATTAGTAACTACTTGAGGAATCTGTAGTCTAATAAAAAGGAAAAGTCAGAAGAAATGGATAGATTCTTAGATGCATATGTACTACCAAAGCTGAACCAAGAAGATATAAAAATTCTGAATAATTTAGTATCAGTGAAATTGAAGAAGTGATAAAACTACCAACTAAGAAAAGCCCAGGCTCTGACAAATTCAGAGAAGATCAAACATCAATATTCCTTACACTTCTTAATGAAGTCCAAAGGGAAGCAGTATTCCCAAATTCATTCCTAGAAACAAGCATTACCCTGATTCAAAAATCAGAAAAGGGCCCAATGACATACATGCAAAAATCCTCAATAAAATACTGGCAAACAGAACGCAGCAAATTATCAAAAAGATCGTACATCATGAGCAAATAGGATTAATTCAAAGGATGCAGAGATGATTCAACATATGCAAATCAATAAATGTAATATATCACATCAACATAAGCAGGGACAAAAATCATATGATCAAGTCAATAGATGCAGAAAAAGCATTTGATAAAAAAACTCAAATACAATGGGTATAGGAGAACTTTGTCTCAATCTGATAAAAACCTATGACAAACCAATGGTCAACATCATATTAAATGAAGAGAAGCTAAAAGCTTTCCCTCTAAAATCAGGGACAAAACAAAGATGTCCACTATCACCACTCCAGTTCAGCACTGTTCACAAAACATTAGCTAGAGTAATTAGACAAGAGAAAGAAATAAAAGGGAGAATGATAGAAAAGGAAGAAGTTAAAGGATCATCATTTGCAGATGATATGATCCTTTACTTAGAAGATTCCAAAAACTCTACCAAAAGACTCCTAAAATAAACAACTCAACTCAGGAGCATAGTCAACACTCCAAATTCAGTAGGATTCCTGCACATCAATAATAAACTCACCAAGAGAGAAATTATAGAAACAATATCCTTCTTCAGTGTTGGTGGGCATGTAAACTGGTACAACTAACTATGAAAACCACTACGGAGATTCCCCCCGCCCAAATTAGTAGCATAAAAAAGAAAGAAAGAGAGAGAGAGAGAGAGAGAGAGAGAAAGAAAGAAAGAAAGAAAGAAAGAAAGAAAGAAAGAAAGAAAAAGAGCGAGCAACAAAGTGGAGGGATGCATAACTGGGATCTGGGATAATCTGTTGGTTTTTAGAGACAAAATGCCCTGAATCTCTAGCTAGCTACCATTTTATTGGCCCAGTGTAGAGGAGGGCTAGGATGCTTTCCCTGGAACAGCACAGAGGCAGTAATAGAATGGGCAAGCTTAACGTCATAAAGGAAACAACCAAGCTCCACCCCCATATCTAGGTGTTAATCTCACTGACGGAGAGGAAGGTAATTTCCACGTTCCAAAACCAGCTCACGAGACAGGCAGGGACAGGAGAGCCTAGGGCAGGTACCAAATCAGTGTAGAGTTTGTGGTTCGTAACGTGGATTTCATGGTCCCTGTTATGGTTTGTGTCTAGATGTCTGCCCAGAGCCTCAGGTGCTTATGAGTCAGGCTTCTGGAGTTTGTGATTGATTCTCAGCCCAATGCTGGGATTAGGGGTGGCCTACATAGAATATAAGGGACAGAAGGAGTCTTCTTTCACACCCCCCTCCCTTTTGCTCTTGTTCCTTTTGCTGTTTTCTACCTCCATGAACAGTAGCCCCTCTGCCGTGCCACCCTGCCTTGGAGCCAGCTGATTATGGACTGAAACCTCCATGAACTACAAGGTAAATAGACCTATTTTTCCTTCATTTTGAGTGTCAGGTATTTTGTTTCAGCAATGAGAGAAAATTGGCCAACACAGTTCCCAACAATAAAGGACAAACAATAGAAATAAAGAGAGAAAAGTTACTGTAATCTAGTATGATCAATGTACACATTGAGTTAGTATAATTTTTGTCTGTTTTATGTTTCTTGGCCTGTTAGTCTATTATTCTATGTTTATGACAAGTAATTTAATAAAGATTAAAAAATAAAATCTAATACTAATCAAAAATATATATTCTCAGGGCTGGGGGTTTAGCTCAGTGGCACAAGTGCCTGCCTGGCAAGCACAAGGCTGTGAGTTCAATATCTGGTATATATATATATATATATATATATATATATATATATATATATTCTCCTCCAGAAAGACTCTTGTGTTCAGACACGAAAAGTGATTAAGTCATGTTCTGTTAGGAGGTGGGGCCCAGCCAGAGGGGATAAGTCACCAGGGAAGAGCCTTTGAAGTTTGAAGGACATAACCTTGCCTGTGCGTGCGCTCTCTCTCGCGCTCTCTCTCTCTCTCTCTCTCTGATTCTTTCCCTGTTGTTTGATTCCTGACTGTCTTGAGGTGAGCAACTTTTCTTTATCAAAGCTACTTTCTGCCTTGGAGCCAGTTAACCATGGACTGAAAACTGAAAATGTGAGCCATAATAAATGGTTTCTTGGACTGGGGATTTAGCTCAGTTGCATAAGCACCTACCTGGCAAGTGTGAGGACAGGAGTCCAACTCCCAGTACCAAAATAAAATGAATAAATAAAGAAATAAATGTTTTCTCCTTTAAACTGTATTGGTGAGTTTGAAAATGACAAATACAACCATTGTAAAACAAATGCTATTTAATCCAAATGTAACAATAAGTGAATTGTTACACAGTTATAGATAACTGAAACCTTGATTCAAAAGAACTACCCCCAGAGAACTCTTGCTACAGTTGCCTAATAAATTCCTTAAGCAATAGAAAGAAGATAGCCTTACTACTAAAACTTTACTATCTATGAAATTATGTTTTTTAAATTTGGGGGGGAGGGAGACTTGCTAAATTGCCCAGGTTGGACTTGAACTCACAAGTTTTCACTTTAGGCTTCCAAGTAACCAAGAGTACAGGCATGTGCCACCTTTCCCAACTTATCTGAACTCCATTCTTCCCCTTTTTTCTTTTCTTTTCTTTTTTCTTTCTTTCTTTCTTTTTCTCTCTTTCTCTCTGTCTGTCTTTCTCTTTTTTTGGTACTAAGGATCACAACCTCATGCTTTCCAGGCAGGCAGTTGCACCACTGAGATAAATCCCCAGCCAATTTCTCATTCATACTGGAAATTGATCCCAAGCCTTCATATTGAGCTACATGCCTAAAAAATTTTTGAATCAAGGTCTCGCTTGAAGCATGTGATTCACCTGCTTCAGCCTCCCAGAGTACACACATGTGCCACTATATCTGCTTGAATTTGTCTTTTAGATAAAAAGTGGGAAGATAAATAATTATGCCATAGACCAGTGCTTACCATCCTGAACCAAGTGTCTCAAATAGGCCATGGCATGTTCTTTTATTTTCAAACACACTGTCTGTGAGCTCTTTCTTTCGCTTAGAGCACCCTTGACTGTGTGATGCTTGCTCATTAGCTTCCGACCTCTCCTCTGGCCTCAGCTCAAATGTTACTTCCCCAGAGAAGATCCTTTTGATTAGGAGACGCCTCCTGCCATCAGCTCCCAAAACTTTCTCTGTTTCCCCCACTATCACTCATCGTGAGTTATGTACAGAGATTCCCCACTTAAGGTTCTCCCTGACAGTCTATAATCTCTGAGCAGGCAGAGATCATAGCTACCTGGCTCCCTGTGGGCCGCAGCACAGTGCCCATTACACTGTCGGAAAACTGTGTCAGTCAAGAGTGAATGCATGAAAAAGGAACAGAACACATGAAAAGTTCTTATAAACTTGTGAGATGCACAGTAAGTGACATAATTATGAGAAAGTTACAAACGTCTGATGATTACTAGATAATTCTTTTTTTTTTTTTTTTTTTGTCTTTTTCCTTTTTATCGGTACCAGGGATCAAACTTACAACTGCCTGCTTACAAGGCAGGCACTTATGCCGCTGAGCTAAATCCCCAGCCCCTAATTACTAGATAATTCAATGTGTTTGTATTGTGTCCAGTGAACCTCCCCAGCTTGACCTTGGACCATGGATTTATCAATCAAATGGAAATGGCGCAATCAAAAGAACCACCAAAAATATTACTGTGTTTAGGCAGAGAGTAGACCTAGGATGAAAGAAATGGTTGAGCAAGAAGCGTGCCTGTTTCCTAAGAACATATCTGTGGCCTTAATTCAAAAGGGAGTTAATACTTAGAAACCGATAAAATCCAACTGTGCCAATCTAGGAAATTGGTAGCTACACTGAGAATTTATACAGGTGACACAGTCATCAGGAAACTATATTTTATTATCATAAACCTACAAGCAAATAATAGGAAACTTATGACAGCTACCATCATAACTCACACTACACACAAGAAGTGATTCTCCAGAGGGTCTTAGGACCAGTTGGTGCTTCCACTCCACAATCCTTGAGCAGGAAGGGTTTGCACTCACCTCACGGCACCAACTCTCAGAGTCCAAAGGCTCCTCTCCTAGCTAATGAGCCTAAGCATTTTTCCAGAGACCTCACCTAATCCCCAGCTGGAACAATGTTAACCAAGGTTGGAGAGAAACAACCAGAAGCGAACTTCACCCCGGGGCGATAGTGGAGAACTGGAGAGATTTCGCAAGCACCGCTGGTGGTCAGAGGGCTGCAGGAGTGCTTTGTGGATGATCCCACAGACACTCGGCCCAGACAGTCCCGGATTTACCGTGCACCTCTCCAGTGGTTCCACACCTCAGGAATTCAGCAAGCAGCGCCTCCCTGTGGCCCCGCCCCTCGCCGCCCAACCCGGGACTACGTTTCCCAGAGGTCTTTGCGCCGGGGCGTTGCCGTGGAAGCAGGGTAGGTGCGCAAAGGGAAGCTGTGGAGGCGGTAGCACTCTGGCGCTGCAACTAGCAGGGATGTTTGGACTTCTGGTCCTCCTTTTCTTCCTCTTCCTCCTGTTCGTGGCTGCACCTCAAATCAGGTCTGTGCAAATGTATATAGCCTTTTATTGCGAAGTCTTTTCGGGGGGACACGAATTCTCTCTAAAGCTCTGTTTTGCGAAAGAAAATTTCCCGGAGGGTCCCCAAGATGGCCGAGATCCGCGTTCAGCGGTTTGCAAGTGAGGTCCGGGTGTCTTGGAGGTCGGGAAGGGGCGGCGGTCCCAAGCATCCTTCTCTGCTACTCCTGGTCCTCTTTAGCGTCCAGCAGCACCTCCCTCCTGCTTTGGAGAAGCCGAAGCGCTAGGGCTCGGCGGGTGTCAGACTCCCTTGTGGGGTACGCACCCCCACAATGCACTATTTTCCCCCGCACGCCTTGGACCAGCGGGGTGTAGCTTTTTGTTTCTAGGCTTTGGAGTACAAAGGAGCGATTCCACTTTTTCCCTGGGAAACTGATGGGAATAGTATCATCTTTAGTTTGCTGGGTGCCCTCTTTTTGCTGCTCTTCCGCGGGCAGAGGTTAGGGACAGAAGTGAATGGGAGTTAAAAGCAGGTGGGCAAAGAAGGCCGTTTTGGGAAAATGGAGAAGTGGGATCTAGAGAATCAGCAGAGGGAGCGGGCAAGCTGCTGATTGGATCTGAGAAAGTCATCCGTAGTGACGGTGGGCCAGTCTCTAAAAAGACTCACTCTTTCCTCTTGGCACGTGGTCATGGTTCTAAGGGAATTTGAACCAGCTACAACTCTGTCATTTCTTTATTCTCCAATTGGTCAAGATCGGGATCTGGTTTAGTTGTACATACTTGCCTGTATGCACAAGGCCCTGATTTTGATCCTTTGGCACCCAAAAGAAAAAATGGAAATCAAGACTTGTCTTCTAGCCAGATGTGGCTGTGCACGCCTGTAATACCTGCACTCAGGTGGCTAATGTAGGACAACTTAACCTGTTAAGAAAGTGCACCTTGAATTCCAAGTTCAATAAAAAGGGCTGAAGGCCAGTCCAAGGCCAGTTTGGACTACATGACAAGATCTTGTCTTAAAAAAAAAAAAGGAAGAAAGGAAAGAAGCGCTTTGCCAGATGTGATAGAGCCCTTCCCAGTCCTCCTCTTTCCTGTTAAGGGAAGTTTATATTTGTAATCCCCTGGAAAAGTTATTGGAGTTCCAATAAATTAATTCCAATCTACTACTTCTAGTACAACTCATGGTGAGAATAAAGACACTAAGACATAGTTATGGGGAGCCAACAGAGTGATTCACCGGAACAAAGGCCTCGACCCAGGGCCCAACCCAGTCTTTATTAATTTGTGGAGAAGGGAGTGACTTGAGGATAGGTGACTATGAAAGTGGCAGGAAATATGTGAGTACTCTGAACTGGTCAATGTGCGTGGGCAGAAAACACCTCTGCAATATGCAGGGAGAAAGATATGCAGAAAGACTAATCTGCGTAGCACAATTGAGATAATATCTAATGTTTTGGGGCCCACTGCTTCAGCTCCTATGTGTAAAGTTTTCTATCCTGGGAAGTCATAGCGTTTTTGTTTTTTTTTTTTTTTTTTTGGTATGAGGACTGAACTCACAACCTTGTGCTGATCTAAATCCCCAGCCCATAGCTTCTTATCTCAAGGCTGATCCCAGATGACGGATTGGTGGCTTTTCATCCTGCCTCCTGCCTGGCTCAACCATGTTTTTTGGAGAATCAAGCTCAACCAGTCTTATTTACATTGCTTAAAGCCAATTGAAGGGATAAAGAAATGACCTAGCCAGCTCTGTACGTATCAGTACTTGCTGATAGGGCCAAGGTTAGCCAAAACGGAGATAATTGCTTTCAGTGACAAACTTCTATAATCCTGGCATTTGGGAGGCTGAAGCAGGAAGATCTCTGAGTTCGATGCCAGCCTGAACCATATAAGAAACAATGTCATGCCATCACAAAAAAAAAAAAAAAGGACTTCCGGGAGAACATGGCGGACAGATAACAGCAACTACCGGAGGCTCTCTGAAAACTAGGCTCAGAAGCCAGGTATGGTGCGGACTAAAGAGACATAAGCAGGTGGAGTTATGCTCTGCTGACTCAGGAACGAACTCGGCTGAGAGAAACCAACTTGGAATGCAGTCCTGGTGCTAAAACAGGAACAGAAAAGCCTCGCTGCTGAGGCTGGACCCCACGCCATTTGGGTTTCCCGCCGCGCGGTGGCTGGCTGCCTCTACGTCGGCTCGGCAAGGAGAGAGACGCACGGAAACTCTGAGAACGGGAGTCTGTGAACGGAGTCGAAAACAGGACAGGCAGGGAGGCATGTTCTGACTTGTGGCGAGGTGAGTGAGAGAAACTGACACTCCACCACAGTTTGACTCCAGCGGACTTTCTGGGCCCGGGCAGTCCTGTGGGAGCAGGGCGCGCTGGCGACTCCAGCCACACATTCCCCTCTCGGGCGGGATTGGTGAAAAGTGCCTGGCCTGCGTGACGCTGCCGGCGGACCCCGTAGGCTGGCCCAACCCAGATCCCAGAGCCTGACGGAGGCCGGGAGGGGCGGGCCCCCGCGTAGGCTGCCTGGTGTGCAGCAGTGAGTGGAAACACCTAACCGGCGCAATTCGATCAGGCTGTGGCTGACAGGGAGAGAAGCTGGGCCTCTCATATAAGCTTGCATATATAAGGAACAGAGAATATGGGAAGAGGCAGCAACAAGAAAGGCTCCTCGGCCCCCAATTCTGAGAAACAGGCAATAACAGACACCGCACCATTACACATAAGGCGCCATATAGAGAGCCTCATAGACCAATTCAGGAATGAAGTTATCAACGACCTGAAGCTAGAAGTATGCAAAATAGTTAGAGAAATACTAAGCACCACCCAAGAAAAAACAGATGGTGGAATGGAAGAACAGAAAAAGAGGGGAGAAGTGTTTGATGGAGAAAACAGGGAAAGCATAGAATACGTGAAGCAGGTTCAAAGGGACTACCAAGAAACTAAGAAGTCTATCGAAGACTGGCATAACAGCTTGAAAGAAACTAAGGACAGACTATCTGAACTGGAGGGCAGAATTGTAATATGGGAGAATGAAATGAAAAACTTCTTAAAAATAACAAAGAAACAAACAGCAATAATACAAAGACAAGAAGATGATAAGAGGAGCCATAACTTAAGGATTAAGAACATAAAAGAAGAAGTAGGGACACAAACAAATGAACTACAAAAGCTACTCACAGAAATAATCCAGGAGAATTTTCCTAATTTAGCAAAAGGTAAAGATACTCAGATGTATGAGGCATACAGGACCCCAGCTACCTACAACCCAAACAGAGCAACACCCAGGCATATAATAATAAAAATTCCAGAAATTCAATACAAGAACAGAATATTAAAAGCTGTCAGAGACAAGAAGCAGACCACTTACAAGGGAGCACCCATCAGAATTACAGCAGATTTCTCTGCACAAACCATCAAATCACGAAGAGCTTGGGGGGAAATAATTCAAGCTTTGAAAGATAATAATCTCCAGCCAAGATTGAGATATCCTGCACAACTGTCCCTCGAAATTGATGGAAAAACAAGGTGCTTCCAGGATAAAGAGGAACTGGGGGAATTTGCAACCACCAATTCAACTCTACAGAGAGTATTGCAGGATATTCTAAAAAAAGAAAAATACAAAGAATCCAGAAATAATGGAGGCCACAATGAATGGAGCAGAGAACAAAGTGAAGAAGACAAACTGACAGCTACTGACAGAATAAGAGCTCAACAGAAATGAGGCAGAGAAGATTGGATGGTAGGAACAGCTATTTTAGAGAAAATGACATCTTAATAGGTAATACTGATTTAGTATCATCTTGTTTTGAAGTCTCATCTAGCTTTTGTCCTTCTGTCTCCAATGGTCCAAATAGGTTGTATCTTACTGGATTTTATTATGTATGATAGTATAAGCAAAAACCTTTTAAAGACAAGGAGATTATACAGAAACCATTGTTCATTTTCTGTTAGTCGATTCTAAATACTCTGTAATGCTGTCATTCTCTTGAATGGTTTTACATTGTTTTGATATACTTAATGCTACAGTATACGAAGTTGTACTCAAGGATTTCAAGGAAAGAGATAATATGGTAACTACTTTTACGTCAGGATTATCTGGTGGTGAAACACTATTCTGCTTAAATGGTTATGTTTTGATCTGTGCTGTTTCGTTGTTATGCCCTCTTTTATCTCAATCTCCACTCCATTATTTACTTTTTTATTTTTATCCTTTTAATTAAAGGAAAAAATAGCAGGATATATTATAGTAACCCACTTTGACTTTCCATTACCTCGATTTAAAGCCCTGTATTACTCTCACCATCTGGTTTTTAACTGATGTTCCCCCATTCTGTTTTGCTGGATAGTATCAGGTTCGAAAATTTAGGCATCAGCTGTGAAGATAATGAGATTCATTATAACGCCCATTCTCATTGACTTTTATCTATTTTTGAAGACCTACAATGTCTCCAATGTTTTGGTTTTGTCGGTTTTATTCTTTACAGTTTTGTTCAATTGTATTGTAACTAACAATATAGGCAATTCTATTAGAGATAGCGGGAGGCATTATGGTAACCATTGTTGATCACCTTGTATTATGTTTTCACATTATCTATTATGTCCACCCTTTTGACTTGACCGATTCTGTTCTGTTATGTCACATTTGGTTTTACTCTCTTCCAAAAAAGTAATAAGAACCATGGGAGCAATGAAACCCAAAATGTGTAATAGTCATTGTACAAAAGAGAGGAAAAGAAAGTGCTCTGTACTATATAACTGCATGTATATTTAAGTGTATAAGATAGAAAATGATATCACAGAGTTTTATTGGACCATTGAACAGAACTGTTTGCAGTATCATTGATGGAATGTCCACTTTACAAGCTTTAATTTTGTGACTTGAACAATTATTTCTAAGATGACAATATGTAATCCATTAACTAGTAATTTCCTACTGTTCATTTTTTTTTCTGCAAATCTGTATAACTTGTACCCTTTCTCTGCTTTTTTTTCTTTTCTCCTTAAATAAAATTTAAAAAAAAAATTAAAAAAAAAATTAAAAGTTAAGAAACGAAAAAAAAAAAAAAAAAAAAAAAAAAGCGTTGTCCAGGTGGTCCTCCACATTGTGATACTTCTGAAACTGAGTATGAGTGTCAGAAGTTCAAGGCCATCCTGGGCAACTTAGTAAGCCCCTGTCTCAAAGTAAAAAAAGGATGTAGCTCAGTCATAGTGTGTTCCTGGGTTCAGTGCTCAAACTGTGAAAAGCAAAAACAAGAATAAAGCACAGTCAACACATCAACAGATTCTTTTATTCTCAAGATTGTAGAGAAAAGAAAAATTAGAGGTCTGCTAGTAGGTGTTTGTATGTTCATTCATCCTTTAGAAAGTCTGTATAGCATAGTGCTTAGGAACTACAACTCTAATTTAGACAAATGAGGACTTGAACCCTTATATTTATTTTTTCTTTCATCATTTTTTGTTTTGTTTTTGTCCTTTGCGTCAAATCCAGTGCTCCATGTATGCTAAGCACACAGTCTACCACTGAGCTACATGCCCTACCCTGGTCTTATTTTTAAGTATGTTAATGTGTATGAAGGTAAATTTGTTGTTTTCTTTTTCAGGTGGGATCTTGCTATATAGTTCAGGATAGCCTTGAACTTACTATGTAGCCCAGGGAGGCTTGAACACACAGCAATCTTCCTGCCTCAGCCTCCCAAGTGCTGGGATTACAAGTGTGTGCCACTGTGCCTGGCTCTTATTTTGCTTTGTCCTAGATTCATAAGCTTTTTAAATTAAAACTCTTTGAATTGGATTAACCCATTTTTCTAGACTGTAAAATACCAACTGTGAACAGATTGGCATGTGGAGACCAGTTTTTTTTTTTTTTGTTTTCTTGGTTTAGTCTTGTGATTTCCAAAAATGCTTCAGAGAGCTCAAACTGAATCAGGTGCCTGGCTAATCAAATATTCCTCCAGTAGTGGTGTTGCAGGGAGCCGTTCTAAGCTTGTAATAGAATCACCTCTGTCCTGAATGAGAGAAAAAAAACTTCAGTCTTTTTTTCTCCTAAGTTCCTTAAATTTATTTTATTTATTTTGGGGGGTTTTTTGGAGGGCTTCACTCTTTAGTTCAGGCCAGACTTGAACTCACTGCTTAGCCTCAGCTGACTTTGAATTCATAGCATTTCTCTTGCCTTAGCCTCCCATGTGGGATTACAGGCATGAGCCACCACCCCTGCCCATTCCTTAAATTTATAAAAGGACAACCATGAAGCCAGGTGTGATGCCAGAGGCCTACAATCCTGTCACTCAGAAGACTGAGCTAGCAGGAACATGAGTTTGAGCGCGGACCTCTTAGTGAGCTCTAGGCCAGTCTGGGCTACTTTGTGAGACTGTGTCAAAAAAAAAAAAGAAAAAATAGGGAGAAGGGGAACCAGTAAAGAAACCAAAGCAAGCTTTAGCCTAGGGTGTTTCCAGAACCTTTGCTGAGATGGGATAATAAAGAACTGATGAGTTCTCTGCCTTTCCTCTGTAGGAAAATGCTGGCCTTTGAGATGTGCACATCTACTGTCCAGCTTCCTGGGAAGGTCGCGATAGTCACTGGAGCTGACGTAGGCATCGGAAAGGAGACAGCCAAAGAGCTGGCGCGGAGAGGCAAGTTCATCTGCTCTCAGTTGCTTTGCACTCCTGTTGTTTTACTCCTCACAGTGATGGTTGTTCTCATTGTCTATTGTCTAATTTAGAATTTAAGAACTCTCCAAGTAGCTCACTGATTTGCTAATCTGAACGTAGTACAGTGCTATACACAGAGTGGGCACTTAAATCTTACTGATCTGTTTTTCTTTTCTGATTTGCTTCAGGTGACTGTTGTAAAGTACATGTAAAAATTCCTGTTTAAAAACAAAAAATGGTTCCAGGCTTAGTGGTAAGGCACTTGCCTAACATGCACAAGGGCTTGAGTTCAATCCCTAGCATGCACACACACACATACAAACCCAAGAGAAAATAATGTTTGACATCAGTTATAGGTCTATAATGCCTACTTAAAAATGGAGCTGATGGCCAGGGGTTTAGCTCAGTAGTGTAAGAGTCTGCTTGGCAAACATGAGGTCGTGAGTTTGATCCCTGGCACCAAAAAAAAAAAAAAAGAATTGGCAGATAAATGACTGAATATTTTCTATGGTGAAGTGAAGAAAAAAAAAAAAATGGAGCTGACAAGCCAGGCGTGGTGATGCATGCCTGTAAATCTGAGCTGAAGGGAAGCTGAAGCAAGAGGGTCACTGTGAGTTTGAGGCTAACCTAGGCTACAAAGTGAGTTCAAGGCCAGCCTGAACTATATAATGAAATCCTGTCTCAAAAGACAAAAAAAAAAAAAAAAAAATTAGAACTGACAGCCAGGTATGGTGGCACACATGTGTAGTCTTAAGTATTCTGGGAGGCTGAGGCAGGAGGATTTTGAGTTTTAGTCCAACTAAGGCTATTTAGTAACTTTGAGATAAAGTTTCAAAAAATAAAGGACTGGGGATGTCACTTAGCTAAGAGGTCCTGGGTTCAATCCCCAGTACCACAAAAGAAGGAAAAGAAAAGAAGCACTGACAGTTTCTCTTTCATATGTTGGGTGACAGGAGCCCGCGTGTATTTAGCTTGCCGGAATGTGCAAAAAGGGGAACTAGCAGCCAGAGAGATCCAAGCCGTGACAGGGAACCAGCAGGTGTTGGTGCGGAAGCTGGACCTGGCTGACACTAAGTGTATTCGAGCCTTTGCTAAGGACTTCTTAGCAGGTAAGTATAGAATGAGAGACTACATTGTGGGTTTATGATCATGTTGGTAGACTTGGATAAAAGGAAATGGTTTCTCTAAAACACAGAAATAATACATAAAATATAGCCAAAAATTTTCAATATAGAGTTAAAGTCATTTTCATCTTTAGATGTGATTAATGCCAAACGGACATCCTCAGGAGACAGAAACAAAAAAGGAACCCCCAAAGCCATGGCAGTGAGCAAAAGCTGAAGCTGAAAATCTCATGAGAGCATCAGAACTCAGTACGGGCTTTTTAGGGTCTAGAGCAGTGGCAGCGAATCCCTGGCACATGTGCCACAGTCAGCTGTTTATTACTGAAAGCTCTAAAGGATTCACCATCACTGGTCTAAAGACCTGAGGCCCTTGAGAGCGGGCACTTAAGGGCCGTCTGATCTGTAATATAAGAGCTAAGATCACAGAGTAAAACAGTGTGGGCACCAGGTCAGGGACATGACAAAGGAATTCACCATCTCTTTGGGTCATGGCCAAATAGTGGGTCATCTATAATAAATTAGAAACCCAGGCTTATATCTGTGGGATTTGAAGCCGTATAACCAAATGGTATAAGGTCATCCGTAGTGATGACCTTATTATTTTGTTTATTTTGGGGTGCAGGAATCTTGAGCTGAGGCATGAACATAAAAACTCTTATAATATTTCGTCAGGCATAGCTCATCATCACCTGTAGATCTTAGCCTGTCAGGGAAACAACTGCAGTTGCTTTGAGTCCACTGTCATAAATTACAAACCATACAAAGAAATGAACCCTTAAACTTCACATATTTCTTTTGGGACCAGGAACCCAGTGGCAGAGGTTCATATCAAATATTTTTTTTTAACTTTATTTTAAAGAGAAACAAAATAAAATAGAACAAAGCCAATTAGAACAAACAATGAGCGTAATACAGGACTTCAAAACAAGATAATAGGAAATCAATAATGGCTACCATAATGCCTCATGTTATCTTCAAAATAGCTGCCCATTCCATCAGACACAATAGAATCTAATGAAACAAAACAGAATAAAACCAAACCAAACAATGAAAACAATATAAGACTTCAAAACAAGATAATAAGAAATTAAAAATGATTACCATCTTCCCTTTTTAGACATTTCCTCCCCTTTCGCCTTCATAATATCTGTTGTACATTTTGGATCTCACTAACTCCTTCAGTTTTTTGTATTAGAGAGACATCATGATGTTGAACATCTTTTTTTCTCTTACTTTGGGATCTTTCCAGTCAGCTTCACAAATCAGGAGAGATGGATGGAATAATTTCCAAAAGCAGGAAGTAGCTCCTGAACTGGAAACTGGGAAAGGCATTCAGTGATACAAATGGAATTTTTCCCTGTTGTAAAAAAAGTATTTAGTATTCAACTGAAGCCTAACCATAAAAAATACCAGTGGGGCTTGGTGGCACATGCCTATAATCCCATCATTCTGGAGGCTGACGCAGAAGGATCACTGCAAATTCGAGGCCAGTTTGGGGAAAATAGTGAGTTTAAGGCCAGCCTGAAAAAAACAAAAAACAAAAACAAAGTAAATGTGAAGAGGAGACAGAGAAAAGATTAAATTTCTGCATCCCCACATTTTGGGGGTGTACTGGGGATCAAACTCACAATCTCATGCTTGCCAGACTGGCACTTATACCACTGAGCTAAATTCCCGGCCAGTGCACTCCCACATTTAAAGTCGGATTATAAAGCAGATTTCTAATATGTAACAGTGGTGACTGCTCCATTTTTTCTTCCCTGCAGAGGAAGAGCATCTCCACATTTTGATCAACAATGCAGGAGTGATGATGTGTCCCTACTCCAAGACAGCAGATGGCTTTGAGATGCACATAGGTGTGAACCACCTGGGTAAGAAATCTGCCTCATCACAAAGCTAGAAGGAACCTAAAGTTCTTGGAAAACATAAAGGTCAGATTGAGCCTTCTTTGTGGTGTGATTGGAACTGAGAGCCATAGTAGACCATGTGTGAGTAAAGAACAGTTTAGCCCTGCCTGAAGCTGAGGCCTGCTCCAGACTCTCTCCACTTTGTAGTCTATGATTTAAATCTGATTTACCTCGGAGGTGTTTTTGGTCTTTGTTTTTAGTCTTTTGAGACAGGGTCTCGCTGTGTAGTTCAGGCTGGCTCTGAACTCACTGTGGAGCCCAGGCTGGTCTCAAATTCCAGGCAATCCTCCTGCATCAGCCTCCTGAGTGCTGGAATTACAGGCATGTGCCACCATACCCAGCTAGGTTACCTGCTATTAAAGAGAACATTGTTGGACTAAGATTGGACTTGTTTTTCACATAGTCCAGACCTATTCATACCTCCTATAATGATATTTCATGTGTTTGGCTGTTTCTCTCTGCACTGTTCCTCTAGTTGACAAAAAGTTGAAGCAGAAGACCTAACGCCTGCGTTCTCTGCCTTCCTTAGCTTAGACCGGCTCACCACTACTCCTATCCCATACTGGCCTTGAGCTTTGACAATCCTGGTTTTCCTCCACAGGTCATTTCCTCCTGACCCATCTGCTGCTAGAGAAACTGAAGGACTCGGCTCCCTCAAGGGTAATAAATTTGTCGTCCTTGGGGCATCACCTGGGAAGGATTCACTTCCATAACCTGCAGGGCGAGAAGTTCTACCATTCGGGACTGGCCTACTGCCATAGCAAGTTAGCCAACATCCTCTTCACCCGGGAGCTGGCCAAGAGGCTGCAAGGTGGGCTTGGCAAGGGGGCAGGGAGATGAGAGGCAGTGAGCAGTGGCTGCAAGTCCCAAGGTGGAAACCATTTTCTGGAGCCTACACTGAATACTGAAGATTGCTGCCTGGGGACAGGGAAATTGTGAATGAAGGCTTCACTAATTGACTAGCTGTGTGACCTGCAGCAAGTTACTTAACTTTTCAAACATATTTTCTCTTATATAAAGGGCGATTGCTTTACAGCGCATTGTTATAATTAATTCAGGTCTTGTGGGCAAGGCAAGAAGTTCTGATGCATATGAATCTGAAAAGAAGGGAGGGAACTGAGCTGGCGCTAGAGACAGCCATGAAGACTGCACATTTGGTGGTGGTGCTGGTGGTGGTGGTGGTGGTGTGTGTGTTGTGTGCTTCCTAGTAGCAAAGGATCAAGTAAGAGGGAAAGTATGCTTCAGAAGGGAAATCTCCAGGCACACGTAAGCAGCACTCCTTAGCATTGTCTACTCTGAATTTCCAGTAAAGCAAAAGGACATCTGTGGTGGGCAGTGTTCAGGAGTTGAGGCAGACAGAATTTAAGCTCAGATAATCAGGCCCAGGCATCACCCCTACTGTTCTGCAGAAGTGCATTCCAGACCGCTGGCATCCAGGGTCCTGGTTAGAGGACTGGAGAGGAGGAGGCGGACAAGACAAGCGTGGCCCCTTCCTTGATGTGCTTTATATCCAGTGGGGAAGAGAGAGTTAGCCAGTGTTTATACAACTACCACGTGTTAGTCTAGCCACACTCTCATTGTGCAAAGTTAAAATAGTATGGAGAGTTACAGAATTAAAGGTGAGAAAACCCTTCATACGTTTCTCCCCTCCCACTCTTCTTCCTTGAAGGGACCACCGTCAACAGCTGTGCACCTTCCCAGTTACCTCCCTTTACATTTACCTCTGTGCATGTTAGACACAGAGAGCTGCAGTTCTAACATGGTTTCTGTGTAGTGCTGCACATTTATCCCCATTCATTTTGTTAGTTACACAGTATTTCATAGTGCAAATGTGCCTTAACAGTATCCAGATGATGTCCTTTCTGTTCCTTGTTTCACTGTAATTGTGGTAAATATTCCAGAGGAGAGTGCAAGGATCTCTCCAATGGATTTCAGGAGTGGGTAGAGACCTTACTCAGTATAGGTTTGGAGAAGAGTGGTCTGACGTAGGGAGCTGCAAGCTGAGCTCTGAAGGGTGACTAGAAATTAAATGGGTAGATGGGGTGAGGAGCAGTGTATGACGTATGGGCTTAGTTTGAGAAACAGAGGGGTGTAATGTTAGAATACAGGGCTGAGTTTAGACTGAAAGGTAGGTAGATGCTACAGAAAGGTTTTTAGTTTTGATTCTGAAAACCTCTGAAATTAAAACCTCTTAAAAATGGGCAGGAGTAGATGCAGGAGGTGATTCAGTAGGCCAGGTGGGAATTGAAAGTAGCTTGGCGAAAATGTTGGGGATGGAGGTTTGGAAACACTTGTGAGAGATGTTTAGGATATGGAAACCGTATTGCTTGTTGAAAGATATGCATGGTAAGGTAGGGAATTTTCAGGAGCTGCTCCGGTGTGCCTGGGTGGGTGGGCAGGGTATACTACAAGAACCAGGTTGGAGTTGTAGCACATGCCTGTAATCTTAGCACTTCAGGAGGGTAGGCCAACCTGAACCATAGTGAGACTCTGTCTCAAAGAAAAGCAACAAAAAAAGATTTTAAGAAGGAAGGATCAGTGATGTGCAGTGCCACTGAGAGGCAGAGTCCTGCCCTGCTGTACTGAAACTGTTAATAACCTCTCTGAGTCTTAATCTGTGAAGTGAGGTTTGTGTTACTGTGAACCACCGGCAGGCAGTGCATGCATAAGTGAGGGTCACAAGTTTATGTACATCCTTTGCTCTCTTTGACTGTTGAGTAAAATCAAGATCCATCTTCCTCCCACTATCCTCCACCCCCGCCCCCCAGGCTCTGGTGTTACGACATACTCTGTACATCCAGGCACAGTCAGCTCTGAGTTATTTCGGCACTCATCTGTCATGAAATGCATGTGCTGGCTTTTCTCCTACTTCTTGAAGACTCCTCAGCAAGGCGCCCAGACCAGCCTGTACTGTGCCCTGACAGAAGGCCTTGAGGTTCTGAATGGGAGTCATTTCAGGTATGAACGTGTCTGTTTTTCTTTTCTTTTCTTTTCTTCTTTTTTTTTTTTTTTTTTTTTTTTTTTGTCTTTTTCCTTTTTATCGGTACCAGGGGTCGAACTCACAACTGCCTGCTTGCAAGACAGGTGCTTATGCCGCTGAACTAAACCCCCAGCCCCGAACGTGTCTGTTTTTCAAATAGTTTGAATATGTCAGGTGTGCTATACCTTTCTAAAAAGTACATTGCCGGTGCTGGGGATTTAGCTTAGCGGCATAAGTGCCTGCCTTGCAAGCAGGCAGTCGTGAGTTCGATCCCTGGTACCGATAAAAAGACAAAAAAAAAAAAGTACATTGCCTACTATTGCTTCTGTTTTGTCTGTAATGTTTTTGCTTTATTTGTTCTGTTTTTTGCAGTATTGGGGATTGAACCCAGGGACACAAGCATGCTAGGCAAGTGCTGGCCAGTAAGCTACAGCCCCAGCCCTTTTTTAAAATTTTGGGACAGTGCCTCGCTCCAACTTGCAGTCCTCCTATCTCAGAAGGATACCTCAGTGTCTGTACAGGCATGTGCCATTGTGTTATGCATTAGCTTCCCGACACTGGGATTGTCTAGTAGCTTCTGTCTTTTTGATTCTAGAGTTTTTATATTTTAATAGGGGAATTTGACATTTCATACTTCCTCTGGTACTTTCCATTTTTGACTTGTACATGCCGCCTTTTATATTGGTAATTGTTATTTCCATCTATTACGGACTTATTGTATCAGTCCAGTTTTTAAATTTCATCTTGAAGTCCTAGTTTTGTTTTGTTTTTTAACATTAAAAAGGTATAAATCTGCATTCCTTTATTGTATTTAAGGTTGAAGTAGTATCTATGATACTCTTCTTGAATAAACTTTTTCAAACTTTTTGTTAGAGAATTTCGAACACACACAGGAGTAGAATAACTATTGAGCCCATATATGCCCATCATCTGCCTCAACTATCACAAACCAGTCACTAGCAGGTTGATGATGACACATTTACTGAGACAGCAGACATGGAAAAATAATGGACGTGTAGTAACGGACAATGAAAATATAGAACAAACGCTGACTTTGGTACCTGCAAGACACGTGATCACAAGATTGTTTTCTGTCCTATTTCTCATTGCAAGCAGAGATTCTATACTTTTATTTGTTTGGTTGATTGTGTTGTTTTTTGTTTGTTTCTTTTTCTTTTTTTTAATAATTGGGTTTCTTTTTTATTGTTTTTTGGTACCAGGGATCAAACTCACAACCTTGTGCTTACCAGGCAGGCACTTATACCACTGAGCTAAATTCCCAGCCCCGCAGATTCCATTCTTAACCCTTTGCCTCAAGCCTGTCTCTTTTCCTTCCAGTGAGTGCAAAGTGACATGGGTCTCAGCCCAGGCTCGTAATGAGACGATAGCAAGGCGGCTTTGGGATGTCAGCTGTGACCTGCTGGGCCTCCCAGTGGATTGACAGGTGGTGGCATTTGGATCCAAAAGAAGAGCGCAGCAGCTGATGCAGTACTCCCTGCCAAAATGATCCTTCTCCAAGGTGGCCAAAGAGAGCACAAAGAACAGAACCTTCCAGCCTTGCTTGATGGTGTCAGTAGCATCCCAGCACCCTGGCCAGATTTGTCTCAACACCTTACATTTGTCTAGACCCACTTTTTTCTTCTACTGCTGGAGTTTTCTGTTCCTATCACTGGATAAAATGACCTGCATACCTCGTATTTTCTTTCGAAACTTACTCCTGTGTCGGAGAATCTGTGCTCTGGCATAGCTGATATCTGGGGATGTGGACTAGTTTATCCTCTTTTTGACACTGTAGTTCCTCCCAACCAGAAAAATTCTTCAAGAGGGGGCCATGTTGGAACCTTGGCTGAACCTCACAAGTCACAGTGGCTTGTTTTAAGAGCAGAGCTTCATGGCACCAACATCAGAATTCTTCAGGTAACTCATCACCGAATCTGTATTATGGCCTGACTTTAGCTCTGACAACCTAGAGCCGTTGCTGCTGAGATGTTTTCCCACATCTAGACCACAGAGCAGCTGCCTTTCCTAAGATGCTGTGGCATTTGGGGAGGACAAAATAAAAATCAAGTTAAACTGTCATGTTCCTCAGATGAATAAGGAGATCAATAAAGTAATAAAAGGTGCACTATAACAAGATAGAGCACTTGGCTTCAGTTACTGATTCTCTGGATTATGTGATTATCTGACCATTTCCTGTTTCTCTTTTATGACACTGTTTGGAGATCACTTTTTCTACATTTCTTGATCAGCCCAAGCTGTTGTATCTCCTTTTTGAACCTTCTCTTAGTCCTGTAGGATTTACTACACTGCTTCTGACTTCTGACTTTGTCATCTCTTTGAGCTCAGTGATACTAAGAGTCCAGTGAAATTGCTGTCTGTTGAATCAGATGGTCAGTGAACTCAGGATAAAAAGGCCCAAGAGGTAAAAACCAAAACATTTCCCCCTGTGCATTCATGTATACACTCTTTTTTTTTTTTTTTTTTTTTTTTTTTCTTTTTGAGGTGCTGGAAATCATACGGGCCTCATGCATACTAAGCAAGTGCTCTATCACTGAGGTACACCTGCCCCATTTATTTTTTTATATGTATCCCTTTAATACATGTTGGTAATTTAAATATTAGGCTCCCAAGCAAACATTTGGGAATAGGCTTCTTAAGCAAACCATGTAATCAGTGTGCAGAGGTACTTACACCCATGGAGTAGAGGACTTTATCACTGTCAACGTGTCACATTTTGCCAATTACACTTGATAAAACTGTCTGCCTTCCTCATCAGATTATAAGTTATGCAAGGCTACAGAGTAATATATATGCACTACAGGAAAACGAGTATATGCTCAAATCCCTGCGGAATACCTTTTTTTTTTTTTTTTAATTTGTTGGTACTGGGGATTGAACTCCTGGCTGCACGCTTGCAAGGCGGGCACTTATGCCGCTGACCTAAATCCCCCCCCCCCCAGAATACCATTCATACCAGTTGTAAGTGAATGCGTGAGGCCACCTAGTGCACTAGAGGGCGGGCCGCTGGAGGCTGCCTATTTTGGGGTCACACAGCCTAGGTTCCACTTCCAAAACCCTGTAACTTTAGCCCTTAGACTTGCCCAGTAATAGTAGTCTTGCAGCAGCCTGGGGATTGGTGGGAGAGTGGTGCACCTAACACTCAAGGGCTAAAAGCCCACGCTTAGGATAGCAGCTGAAGAAGGCAAGCGGAAAAGCAAGATCCTTGACAGCAACGATGACCTCTAGACACCAGATACACCGCTGCGCACCTGCCAGATCTCACATAGAGGCCTGACTACAACTCCCGGCATGCACTGCACGGCCTTCTGGCCGGCCGGCGGATCCCGGAGGTAGCGACCAAATTGCCCGTCTCGCGGGTCACCTCCGACCGTCCACAGAGGCGACTTCCATGTCCTGGGCCTGACAGTTCCAGGGCTGGGCACTGCCGCTCGTCCTGGCACCGCGTCGCCTCCGCCTCGGCGTCGCCCGGGCAGCATGGCCTACCTGGCTTCCGTCAGGCTTCCGCGCCCGGTGCTCAGCAGGGACCGACTGCCGGCTGGGCGTTCCGCTCCGAGGACCCCGGCGCGACCCCGGAAGCGCCTCGTTCAGGGCGGCGGCGGCGGTGGCGGCGCGGCTGTCGCTGTGATGGCTTTAGGGTTGGGTGGCTGACCGCTGGCGAGGAAGGGTCCCAGCGCCCAGAGTCTCGGCGGCTGCGCCATGGCCGCCTCCGCCGCCTCCTCCGAGCATTTTGAGAAGCTGCACGAGATCTTTCGCGGCCTCCATGAAGACCTACGGGGGGTGCCCGAGCGGCTGCTGGGGACCGCCGGGACCGGTGAGACGGGGGCGGGACCCGAGGTGGGGAACTCAACCCTGCGCGGTTGAAAACGAGAGCCTCCACCCCATGCTCTCCCCTGCTCTCCAGATGCGCCCGCGAGGACCGGCAGGGTCTGCGCCACTGTTCCTTTGCTACCTTTTGGTCTATGGACGGGTCCGAGGATGCAGATCAAATTGTCTCCCTCGGATTCACCTGGACCCCAGTATATTCTTTTCGCCTCCCCTCTTCTGTGGCAAGAAGAGCATAGGGGTTTTTAAGTCTGCTGTGGTAGAATGGGTTTCTTTTATAGATCTGTATTTTATTGTATCCGTCATTGTCAAGAGAAAGTCACCAGAGAAAGAATTTGTAGTATAAAAAGGACCAAGAACTAGAAAGAATAGGAGCTTTTTTTAAAAAATTTTTTGAGACAGTCTAGTCTAAGCTGGTCCTGAACTCACTATGTAGCACAGACTGGCCGCCAATTCAGGTTGATCCATCTGCCTCAGCCTCCCGAGTGCTGGAGTCACAGGTGTGTGCCACCAGCCTGACGAGAATCACAGTTTTAGGGGCTAGAATGTAAGGGATTGGATAGGAGTTTGCTAGGCCGAGGGGAAATGAAAAGAGGCAAGGAAGGAATGAGACATTAAAAATCCCCAACTATGAAACTTAGAGTATATATGGGAAAGTAAAACAGCCAAATTGCGGAGGGACCTAATGTCACATTAGACATTTGGACTTGGCAGAGTTTCTTAAGGAATTCAAGCAGCTGATTAATAGACTTTAATTCTAGAAGGGCTCTGATGCCTAGCTAAGAGGATACAAGAGTGGCTGTAGGGGACTACATTGGGAGCCTTGGTGGCAGTCATCTAAGTAACATGGGAACTTTTTTTTTTTTTGAGACAGGATATCACTGTGTAGTTCAGGCTGCCCTTGAACTCACAAGCGATCCTCCTGCCTCAGCCTCCCAAGTACTAGGATTGTAGGCATGCACCACCATGTCTGACAGTATGAGTTTTAGAAGATGTGATTCCAAAGCAGAAATTAAACAGACTGGATATGAGACATGAGGAAGGAAATTAAACAGACTGGATATGAGACATGAGGAAGGAAAAAGGATTTCTGCATTTTTTCACTTGGTTGAGTAAACGATGAATTTAAGTAAATACAAGTCCAGCCTGGGCAAGTTAGTAAGATCCTGTCTCAAAATAAAAAGATCTAGGGATGTATGTAGCTCAACTGCCACAAAGAGACAAAGAGAGGAGTGACCTTTTTGGGGAGGGGTACCAAGAATCAAATTCAGAACAGGAGATAGAAGCAGTCTTGTTTGGGTTTTAGATGAGAACATCACAGGTATCTGTAGAAGTGAGATTATGACTTATTATGAGGCTTCATTCTAGCCTCACAAGATAGTTTCTCTGCCATTAAAAGTAGCATTTATGAAGAACATGTTAATATGAGTTGAGAGGGACTGTAATAATACCATAGTTAAAAGGAAGAATTCCACAGGCAGGCTATTTGGTTTCAGTCCACTTTTTGATAGTTGTGTGACCAGGTAAGCTTTTTAAAATAAGAAATATGAATGAAGATTTAAGATAAGTAAACTATGTAATTTCTTAGCCAAATCCAGATACAATGAAATAAAAAATATCTGAGCCCACAATATCTTAATCATTTCCGAGTTATTTTAACCAAACTAATTTCCCCTGCAGAATAGAGGGAAAATCATAGCATCTAAATTAATAGTGTTCCTGTGAGAAATAAATGAGTAAATATATGGAAAATCCTTAGACTATCCCCCGAGCCAGGCATGATGCTACACACTTTCATCCCAGCACTCAGGAGGCTGAGGCAGGAGGATCATTGTGAGTTCTAGGCCAGCTTGAATCACAGAGTAGAACCTTGTCCCCAAAAAACTTAGAATATTGCCTGACATTAGTAAGATCTATTAGCCAGTGTTATTAGTGCATGAGAAATTTGGTCTTTTATTTAATGAGAATAATGCCAGCACTCTTACCTTATTTTACTTTTTTCCCCCAGGGCACTTATTTTATAAAATACTAAATAATTTATGTGCTTCTGATACTTATGTTGTCTTCCTTTTACCATAACAATAGTTTGAAGGTGTAGGCGAGAACCCAGCGGTGCCTTCACCACCTGAGAATTTAGAAGAAATGTAGATTTTTCAGACTCCAGCCCAGACCAGTAGAATCAGAAACTTGTGACAAGCAACTTGGTTTTTTGTTGTTGTTTTGAGGTACTGGGGATTGAACTAGGGCTTTTGCACTAAGCTGGCACCCTAATTCCTTTTATTTTTTATTGTGAGACAGATCCTCTTGCTAAATCACTGAGTTACCCAGTCAAATTTGCTTCCTCCTGCCTCAGCCTCCTAGAATACTGGATTTGCAGGCATCTACCATCCTGGCTTCATTTTCAGTACTCTTAAAATTATATATCTATTAAAGCAAGAAAAACTAAAGAGGTATTGATTTCCCAAAAGTATAGTCTGTATTCAGTTTCTGCTTTTGCAGGATATCAGACACAAAGTGTGTAGTGTTAGGAAGTTTCATGGCAGTAAGCGTCCATTACCATGTACTATATTAATTCCCTGAGTATTGCATTAGGCACATAAACCATAATTTCTGATCATAGTTTTGCTCCATTTGAAGAGGTTTCTGCCTATATCTCAGAGTGCTTTAATTGCTTAATTTAGTGTTGAATGCCCACAGTCAAGATTTCTAGTTTTTGTTTTATAGTACTGGAAGATATTTTTCAGTATGTCAGAATTGGTAAATGATAAAATTATTGAAAGTTTCCTATTTTAATTCATTTAAATTTCAGTATCTTTACATTTTTTTTTTTTTTGAGGCAGATTTATTTTATGTTGGCGGGCACCCATTGGGACAGTTGCCCAACTCTCAGCCTTTTGCTGGTCTAGGGCTTAAATGGGACAAGCAGGCAGGAAGTACAGAGGCAGAAGGGCTTATCAATTGGGGATTGGTTCTTGCAGCATGCCTCACAGTGACCAACTGCTTCTAGGAAACAGAAGCAACTAAAATTCAGCAGGAACTGTCACGTGGGCAACTAAGAAGCTGAAGCGGAACTGGCTGGGGAGCTGTTTTCTGTTGCTCTATCACAGTGGGGAGCTGAGCTCCAACATATGAATCTGAGGGGACAGAATCTGTACCATGACTAGAAGGAAACACAGAAAGCAAAGCTAAAGCAGGAGCCTGCAGTGTGACTCACCTGGTAAAATTTACAAGGACGTATGCAACAAATAGATGAAAGGGCAGTAAAATGTGGCACTGGTACCTCTATAACACCAATTCTAAATTAACTGTACTTCGGCTGAATGATATCAAGTAGCAAGTCTTATTCCTCTTAATCATTACTAGAAACCCCACTAAATTTAAACAAAGTAAAGTTTATAACCTGGGGGGAGTCACTGAACATAATATAGAGGGCAAACAGGTATGTCTTCCCTTAATGACAGAATCTACAAGACCCCGTTATTTTGTGAGCCAGAAAAAACTCATCATAATGGAATATTGTATGTACCAGGCTTGAAAGTAGCAATTACTCAAAGGCTGCAGAATTTTAATTATTCTAGCTTTGTTTATACTCCCCTAGGATTTTTTCCCCCTAGGTTTTCTTTCTTAAGGAGTTGTTTTTGAAAACAGTGATAGGGGGATAAGGATATGGTGATAAAATACTTGGGAAACCCTGGATTCCATCCCTAGCATAATTATTAAGACGTTATTATACCTGGAACTTATTTAGTGCTTGTTAGTTTTATCTCTTTTAACCTTTCAAATATTCATAATGAGGTCAGTACTATTGTATTCCCTGTTACAGATGAGGAAACAGATTTAGAGGGGTCTGTGCTAAGATCAAGTTGTTGATCTACTGATAGGAGCTGTTGGTCACAGGAATGCCCACAGTGGGGCGCCAAAGGCAAATAAACCATAGGTCCTTAAGGCCCTGGTCTAACCGAAGTCACCACACTGCTCCAGGGCCCAGCTTAGTCATTCTTGGGCTGGTAACTGAAAAACCTGAAAGGAATCCAGCCCTGACGCCCTGGGGGATGTTAAGGTAGGCTTTCTCTAGCTTGTGTTTCCAAGCTGTTTCCATTTTATTCGTACCTGGGAGATTGTGCCACCATCCACCCACATTACCAAAAAGGACAGTCTCAGTGAGTCCCCAGTGAGAGGTTTGAGCAGGCATGGGGTTTAGGGGTGCCCTTTACAAGAATGTATGCAACAAAGGCAGTACTGCTGATTTGTAGTTGATTGTAGCATTCTAAAAGACAAACAAACACTTAAAAAATACAAGTTACTAAAGGACACATGATGGGAGTGTGAAAAACTCTCCTCACTTGTGTATTTAGCATTGAGAGTCACGAGACTTGTATCCTAGAACTAGTGTTGGCTACACATTAACTGCTCATACAGCCTTAGGGGGAGCTGCTGAGCTTTTCTAAGATCTAGCTTCTGCCCCTGCAAAATGAGGTTATACCAGATCAGTGGTGGTACCCGTGCTACAGTACATGTGCTATAGCAGGCTGTTTGTATCATTGAAAGCTCTGAAAGGTTCACCATCACTGGACTAGATGACCTCTGTGATTCCTCCCATCACTAGTGTTCCTTGGTTTCCCAGATTAGAGGCAGTCATTTATCCCTTTCAGTTGCGTAGAAGTCAGCCTCTTTAGGTTTGTTTTTTTGTTTTGTTTTTGTTTTGAGAGGTCTTCCTGTGTAAGTCAGGCTGACCTTGAACTCATGACAGTCCTGCCTCAACCTCCCAAGTGCTGGGATTACAGAAATGTGCCACCCAGGACTATGAGATCAGTTGCTTTGGAACTTTGATAAATATTTACCTTCCTGGTTTATCATCCTAAGGAATGATTTCAAAGACTTTTTTGTTTTAAATCTTACGAGCGCATAAAGGATCTCATAAATGTGAACATCTTCAAATTATTTTCAAAGAGAGCATATTTAAGAGTGTGTAAGCTGTAGAGTATGTATAGAAGGAAGCATGTGTGTATGAGCTTAAATAGAAAGTAGAATATTCCAACTGCAAAAAGATAGAATAAAATAATTATTCGGGGAAGTCAGCGAAAGATACAAGCTACTGTCCTTGAATAATTCTAAATAGTAAATCTCCCTGTTCTGGAGGGGCTTGATACCAAATTGAGACTAGATTTAATACATCCAAAATGATTGTGATCATTTGAAAAGCAGTAGAAAACTGACATCAAATGCTGTTGCAATTAATACAGTGTAAATCCATATAAAGATTTAGTAACATTGAGTCATTTTTTTTCTTTTCTTTTTTTTTTGGGGGGGACCAGAGATCAAACTTACAACCTCACGCTTGCCAGGCATGCGCTCAATGGCATTCCACTGAGCTGAATATGCGGCCATATTGCATCTTGTGTGGTGTTAAATTCAAAAGGTTGGGGCTTAATATGAAGATCAGGCTAAACACAATTATCTTTGGACAGCTTGGAATGTAGTTCAGTGGTAGGGTGCTTGTTTAGCATGTATAAGGTCCTGGGTTCAACAAAAGCAGAACAAAGTCTCAGGACAATATATTGAATACCCATATACTCTCTCTCCATAAGCCCAACTCATCTGATTTCTTTGACTTTGGAGAAGATTGCTCTTCTCTCAGATAGAAGTGCTGGCTTATAATGAGGAGTCACATTGAATGAAAAATACAAGCTTTGAAAAACCATTCCCATTCGTCCTACATTGTGAATGAACCTTTAAGACATGCTGAGTGAAATCAGCCAAACACACAGGACAAATATTGTGATCTTATTTAGATGGTATACCTAAAGTAGTGAAATTCATAGAATGGGTAATGGTGTTTAATGGCTATAGGGTTCTCATTCTGAGGTAAACAAGTTGCAGAAATGAATCATGGTAATGATTTCATAGCAGTGTGAATGTACTTAATACCACTGAACTGTATTTAAAATGGCCAAACTAGCAGTTTGTGTTTTTTTCCAAAATTAAAAATAAAAAGCACTTGCCAGGCATGGTGGTGCAAACCTATAAATCCAGCACTGGGTAGGTTGAAGCAGGAGTATCATTGTGAGCTCAAGGCCAGCGTTAACTACATCGTGGGATCCTGTCTGAAAAACAAACAAACAAAACCCACAAAAAAACATTAAAAGACTGTATCCCTAGACTGAAAGTAATTATACAGATGAGAGTGCAGAAACCACCTTAAGCAATGGTAGCTTTGTGGTAAAAAGTAGACTGTGTGCAGATTTCTAAAGATACTATTCTTTTGAGTGTGTGTGTGTGTGTGTGTGTGTGTGTATAAAGAGCCTTATAAACGGGGAAATTTTCTGCTTGTTAGATGTGAAAGGATGATCTGCTTCTTACTACTGGCTTGATTATAGTTGAGGAAAGAGGTTGAGTCTCAAGAGATGAATTACCCATATTTTCATGTTGAGGCAGGCTCAAGAACCTACCCCTCTGACTAAGCTGAGTTCTCCCCTTACACAGATGTGTTTTTTCTATTATCTTTTGTTTTGCACTTTGTTTATATTTGGATTCTCATCTAAGACAAACCATGTGATATATAAACTTGCATATCTGATTTATTTCATTTAACATTATGGTCTCAAAGATGCATCCATTTTCCTACAAATAACTGAAGTTTATTTCTTTGAACAGCTGAGTAGTACTCCATTATGTATAAATACATTTTATTTACTCATTCATCCATTGATGGGCTTGTAGACCACTTCCAAGATTTAGCTATTGTGAATTATGCAGGTGCGAACATGGGTATGCATGTATCACTATAATAGGATGTCTTTAACTCTTGAGAAGATACCTAGAAGGGAATAGCTGGATCTCATGTAGATCCTTAGCAGGTGAAAGCATTCAAAATACCTTCATAACTTTTGCTACATTCAGTGCCATTTTTACATTTAGCCATTTCTCTATATGAGCTTTTTTATGTAAAATACATTTACTTAATATACAAAGTTACTTGAATCCGGCATGATGGCACAGTTTTATAATCCCAGCACTTGGGAGTCTGAGGCAGGCAGATCTTTGTAAGTTTGAGACCAACCTAGGTTACAAAGTGAGCCCAAGGCCAGACTGAACTGCATAGTGAGACCCTGTCTCAAAAAGAGGGAAAAAAAATTACTTGGAAACTTGATATCATTATTTTAAATAGAAAAATTCTGTATTTTCAATGATTAGAAAAAATATAGTAAAGGTAAAATTTACTTCTCCAGTTAGATGTTTTTGGTTTGAGGCTGAAGCTTGTTCTATTTTGTTAAAAGAGGAGATCAGTAATTTTTTAGGTATTACAAAGAGCATCAAAATGACAGGCTAAAAGAGAACTGAAAGGGGAATGAGTCTAGCTGTGTGCAAGTCATCACGCCCACCCCCACCAGGGGAGGCTGGCCCCGCACCGGCAAGCTGAGGTGTTGGATTTTGAATTTGGCAGAAGACAGTGATTGAGGGTTAATACAGACGTGACTCACCGTGGGGCAAAAGTGCGAACAGAGATTTCAGAGAACCAGTATTGGTAAACCGTACTGATGCAAGCGTGCCTGGTTGATGCCTCAGTTAGGAAAGAGGTATGAGAAACTGTTACGAATGATTAAGTTAGACCGATAGTGTTTCTTAGCATACTGTTAGCTTTGGAAACAGCTGTTACACATGTCTGTCCTAGTGGCCAGTACACAGCACTCCCCTCTACAGTCACTGTGTTAGCAAGGCCCTGTACATTTCCAAGTGCCTTTAAGGGATTTTTACTGCTCCTTGGTAGGAGGAGTGTTACCCTAACTAGAGGGAATGACCTCTACAAATGTATGAGACCAGTGATGAGCGAACTTGCCTATCTTTTGTAGAGGAGAAGAAGAAGTTGATCAGAGATTTTGATGAAAAGCAGCAGGAAGCAAATGAAACGGTAAGAACAAGAATCACATCCTTATTTCTTCTACTAGGTGTTGGTCTTTACAGAAGGAACACCGTGACCTGATCCCAGATTAACTATTCCTGACTTGGCTTTACTTACTTATTTTTTCCTATTCCTGACTGTTGATCATGATTTTTTGACTAGTGTTTACTAAATGAGGTTAGTTGGTAGGGATAGGTGTTGAGGTTTGACAAGAACAAGAGAGTGAAAGGTAAAGCTAGAAGAAATACATATTCTTTCTTTTTAAATTTATATTATCGGTATGTTTGCAGTACATAATGATTGTATTCCTCATGGGAAGTTGGTCTGAATACATAACACAGCTCAGTTTGTTTTTTTAGTCCCTTTCCCCTTCCCTCCCTCCTCCCTCCCTTTGTCCCCTTTCCTTTTGTTCAAGATTGAGCTCCTTATTTCTGTGATCTTTTATTTTGGTCCTATTTGTATATTGGAGTTTTCATAGAAGAGAAACCATGTGATATTCATGCTTGTGTATCTGATAATATATTCTTGATGTATTAACATTTTCTCACACCTTTACCCAAGTGGTCTTTTAAAGTACTGGCCATTAAGGTAGGTTACTGTTATTTTATTAAACTTATTGTCATAGAAAATATAGCATAGAGGTGGTTCTAGCCATATTCCTGTCTTAAAAATTAGATTCTTGCACAAAATATTCAAGAACCAGACAAATTATCCTAGTCAAGGGGGCTGGAGATTTAGCTCAGCGGCATAAGCACCTGCCTTGCAAGCAGGCAGTCGTGAGTTCAATCCCCGGTACCGATAAAAAGGAAAAAGACAAAAAAAAAAAAATTATCCTAGTCAGGACCCAGAGTCTGACAGAAGTTAGTTCTGACTGATAAGCAGTTTAAGAATGGATTCTCTTTTACCTGTGGATTTTCTTGTGCAAAATGTTTTGACTCTAACCTTTTGATAGCAAGAGTCTCCTCTAGCTCTGTCTTTTGTTCTGGCTTTAGCAAACCCATTAGATTGGGGCTGAAATCCAGGTCCTTGGTAATTTTCTGCAGAAATAATTGCTCCTAATCTTTGATGTCACAGAGCAAATTGGAGAAAAATTCCTTTTAGACAAGATGAATTCTTTGTTGAGGATCACCTTACAATATGCCAATGAATTTCTGAAAAAATGAGCCTATCTTCTTGTCTTGAAATTCACTTTTTCTGACAGTAGAATAGCTACTCCTGCTTTTTTTTTTTCATTTCTGTCACAGGGAGTATTATTTTCCATCCTTTGACTTTCTCTCTATAAATTTCTTTTTTTTGTCTTTTTCCTTTTTATTGGTACCAGGGATCGAACCCATGACTGCCTGCTTGCAAGGCAGGCACTTATGCCGCTGAGCTAAATCCCCAGCCCCTAAATTTCTTTTTGAATTATATGTTTTTTATTTTTGTTGTTTTGGTGCTGGGAATTGAACTCAGGATGTCATGCTTGCTAGGCAGGCGCTGTGCCACCGAGCTAAGTCCCCAACTCCAAATGTGTTTCTTGTATGCAGCATATTATTATTATTATTATTATTTTGCAGCATATTATTGAATCTTGCTTCTTGATCTATTCTGGCAGTCTGTGTCTTTTGATAGGTAGATTGAGACTATTAGCATAAATGGTTACAACATATATAATGACTTATTCTTGTCATGTTATTTTCCTGTTGTTGGTTCCTCCTTTTTTCCCCTCATTTGTTTAATTGTTTGCTTTGCCTAGTGGATTCTTTCTGTTGGCGTTCATCCAGTTGTGATCTTTGTTATCTCTTTCTAGAATGTCCTTCAAAACACTTCAAAGTGTAGGTTTAATGGTCATAAATTTCCTCAGGTGCTCTTTGTCATGGAAGTATCTTATTTCTCCATCTTATTTCTCCAAACTGTCTTTTGAAAGACAGTTTAATGGGGTACATCAATCTGGGTTGAAGATTGTTTTCCTTCAGAACTTGAAATACTTCACTCCATGCTCTCTTTGACACTTGAGGGTTTGTGGTGAAAAGTCAGCTGTGATTCTGATGGCCTTTGCTTCATAGGTGACGCGTTTCTTTTCCCTAACAGCATTTAAGATTCTATTCTTACGTTGAATTTCTGGAATCTTTACTATCATCTGCCTTAATGTAGATTTTTTTTTTTTTTCATGGCTAATTGGAGAGTTCTTGCAAGTGTAGCTTATTACTGGTTTTTGAGTCAGTTGCAAGGTCCTGCCTCTTCAATTTGTTAGAGATGAGAAGTTGCTGCCTGCTTGACACAGCCCCTGACTTAGGCATTGTGCCACGGTATTTTCTATGATCTTTATTCACTCTCAGTTTGGAATACCAGGAAGAACAGTGGTTAGAACAGATATGTCACTTTTGGGTGAAGTACCATCAGCAGTAACAGTAGCGTCAAACACAGCCTAGAAAATGAACAAACAGGTAGCCATTAATTTGCCACCTTTAACTATATGAACTAGAGTTGTGGTTATATAACAAAATCTAAAAGAAACCAGAAAATTATATGCACTATATAAGTCCTTAATATGTCAATTTTAAAGTGGTTAGGAAGAAAATAAGAGGAGAAAGCGGTTAGAGGTAAGACTGGAAGACAAAGGGAAGTCACACTAACTTTGGGAAACTGGTACAGAAAACTGGAGGGAAAGAGAGAAGGAAGAGATAAAAGGAAGGACAGAACAAAACCACACCCGTAAAGAGGCTAGAAACTGGCATGTTCACACTCATAAAAACATCAAACAAGGAGTGAGGAATAAAGAACAAAACCACTACCACCACAACAAAAAACAAACGAGAGAGGGGGAAGGAGGACCACTTCCAAGTTTGTGTCTGTTGTCACTGGTAGACAATACGTGGAGTCAGAGTCCAGATCTGTGTTGATTTATCCCAGCAAACCAGCAGTAGCTTAGGGTGTGGGGGCTAGTGGAAAATGTCAGTGAACCATCGTTTCCCCTGAGTGCAGACTGTATTCTGAGACCAGACCCATTCAGCCTGCAGTACTCATTGCACCTTCCACAGCAGGCCCAAACCAGCTGGGAGCTGCTGGACGGAGCCAGCAGCTGCTGAGTTGTGAGTTCAGCTGGCTCCTCTCCTGGATGGCTCCCAGCCGGATAGCTCTCTGGCAGGAGGACCGAGCCCTCAGCACTCACCCCCAGTTAGCGTAGTCCTTCACATCCATTAGTTTACTTTACTGCTGTGTCTTTCCAAGGAGGTCTCTGGAGTAACTGTCTGTGCTAATCCATAGGTTTGAACTGTTCCTCTCACACAGTAAGTCTTGGCTCTACTGTCTGCCTCTTTCCTTTTTGTTGAAGTTTCTCTCTTCACTCTCTGTGGGCTTCAGTTCTTGCTTCAGATTCTTTCTTGCCAGGGGACCCACCTCCCTCCTCCTCGTCTTCCTCATGTTGCTATCTTCTAGCATCTGGACAGCAGCTCTCAGAAGAGGCTCTTTCTTTGCTGCTTAACACTGCTCCTCCTTCAGCGTACTTCTTGACAGCAGTGTTTTTAGCTAAAAACTTGGTATGTCCAGGTTGAGAATTTAAAGATTTTGAAGACTTAATCTTATGATATAATCCTGAGATTTAAGTAATACATGAAATGGAGAAAGTATTTCCTATGTATTGACTTGTTATGGATATTAAATGGTAGTGAGTACATAAAAACATTCCACTAGCTGTAAGGAGCTTCTGTTAGTTTTTCATTTGCTCATCTGTATTTTTGATGCTTGCTAAGACATGACGCTGTGCACTTGGTGTGAACGTGCCAGTCACCTCCATGGAGCATGTGACTGGTTGTTATTTAGGGTACCTGGTTTAATGAGTACAAGCTAGGTATATCCCCAGGTAAGAGAAGGAGAAGCAAGCCACCTACTTGTTATTTTCTGCCTTTGCAGCTGGCAGAGATGGAGGAGGAGCTACGGTATGCACCCCTATCTTTCCGTAACCCCATGATGTCTAAGCTGCGGAACTACCGGAAGGATCTTGCCAAACTACATCGGGAAGTGAGAAACATGCCTCTGACAGCTGTACCTGGGGGCCGAGGGGACATGAAGTATGGCACATATGCTCTGGAGAATGAGCAGATGGTAAATGTCCATTTTTTGTTTTTCCCGTAAGGGAAAAGGGGGCTGGTAGTATAAGAATTAAACATTTTTTTTGCATATAGTTCACATCAGTGCACATTGGACTCTGTTAATTTTTTTTTTTTTCTTTTTGAGGCAGGATCTCACTATGCAGTTCAGGTAGGCCTTGAGCTCACTTTGTAGCCCAGGCTGGTTTCAAACTTGCAATGATCCTCTTGCATCAGCCTCTCAAGTGTGGGAACTACAGATGTGCACCACCACACCCAGTGTACCTGTTCTTTTTAATGCATGTCTTTTGTGTGAGATACACACAGACACACATACATATGTGTATAGAGTGCTTTGTATAAATGTATGTTACCTGCTATCTGGACTCCATATTCTGAGCCGTTAACCTATTTTTTCTTGAAGTTTTATTCTTTAATATAAATTTTAGAATTGTTTTTTCAGATATACCCCTAAAATTTTGGGTTTTCAATTTATGAGAGTATAATTGCAAATTATTCCAAGTTTTTCTTTACCTTAATATCAAGATGTTCTGGTAACTGATATAGGAGAAATGCAGAGTGTTTCTTGAGAAACAACTTCCTGCCTCCCTTTTCTGTTATGAAAAATGAACCATATTGACTCTAGCCTTCAGGATTCATGTTTACAAAATTTGAGTAATTAAAAACCCATGTCCTGGAACCATCTGAGAGTTGGATAATTCAAGGAATAAAACAAAACATCATGTCTGGTGTGGGGATACACCCCTATTATTCCATCTTCTCAGGAGGCCGAGTCAGAAAGAGTGATGCCAGCCTAGGCAACTTAGTGAGGCTGTATCTGAAAAAATAAAAACTCTGAGCTAAAATAAGCCTTTCCATAAAGGAATGAAGAAATGGCTTATGATACAGCTCAAGTGATAAGAATACCCCCTTGGTTCTATCTCCAGTACCACCAAGGAAATCCAAAGATTAAATTAATGTGCTACATTTGGCTTATAGTCCAGAAACATAGTACAAAGTAACAACTGCCTGGCGAAGTCATGTATAAGAGAAACAGCGAAGGTAGATTGAATCTAGTAGAATGGCATTAGTAATAGTAAAACTTTAAACAAATCCTGTTTCATGATACATCCTAATTGTAGTTTAAGAGACTCAAAATGGTACATGCTTGACATTGCTGATGTCAAAACAACAGATTTGAGCATGATGTAAAATTTAGAGGGGCACAGCAGATTGTTACAGATCAGAATCTCACAGATCACGAGTGAAGACTGGAAAAAGGCAGTTAACCACTTGTTCCATAGGAGTTACAAAAGTGACTTGACCACTGGGCATAATGTTGCACGGCTGTAATCCCAGCACTTGGGAGGCTGAAGCAGGAGGATCACTGAGAGTTTGAGGCAAGCCTGGACTACATAGCAAGTTCAAGGCTAGCTTGCACTACATAGTGAGACCCTTTCTTTTTTAAAAAAAGTGACTTGATAAAAAAGGGAGAGGAAAAAATTATTAGCTTGTGCTAATGTAGTAGTGCACACCTGTAATTCTAAGAGACTCAGAAAGCTGAGACAAGAGGAACAAGAGCTCAAGGCCATGAACAATGAGATGAGATTTGAGATTCTAAAAAAATTATTAGTTTCAATGGTTTTTGTTTTTGTATTGTATTAAGACAGAGTGTCAAGGCTGTCCAAGCTGACCCCGAACTCCTAGGTTCAGGCAAATATCCTGAGAGCTGAAACTGTAGGCCCACACCATTTTGCCCAGCTCCATGAACCATACTGTTCAGGTGTCAGGCTCTACCTTCAGTAGAATTACTGTTCCAGGTCTGTCTTGGGTTGATTTATGTGATACTGTCTTTTTGTCCTCTTTATATCATTTGAAATTCCATGCATATTTTAAAGAAGTCTTCTGTTAACTTCTTTTGAGCTAATAAAATGGGTTTGTTTGATCGTCATGCACTGGTTTTTCATCCACTGGTTTGTGTGCCATTTGTTAAATGTAAGTGCATCCTGGTACATCTTGTGGCATCTTGATGTCCTGTTGCCAGTGGTCACCTACTTTGTAATCAGTCTCTGAGCTTGGCCTTGTTTTGATTGTGTGTGCTTGGAATAGCTTACAATTTAGAGCTGTACCCACTTTTATACGTGGTGCTTAATTTTGCTGATAAAGGCTACTTTGTCCTCTTATTCTCTGTACTTACAGTGATAGGTAGAATAAAACTTCAGTGGAGATTTATAAAATTAGGGCAGTTGGAGAAATTTATTGAAGCTCCAGTTACTAACTTCTCAGAGAGCAAATCAACAGTGTGGGAGCTTCAAAGTTGTGTGTGTATGTGTGTGGTATGTGTGTGTGTTTGGCTGGAGGTGAAACTCTTTTGGAAGCTCACCTGAAATGTAGCCATGCTTTTTTTCCAGAACATTAGTGTATCTCAGATTTCTAAATGATTTCTTTATGAAAAAGAATAACTTTTTCATGCTCCGTCAGTCCTCAGCATCAGTCAGATGGGAATCCTCAAGTGAATTTGTCTTTTTCTGGAGCTGCAGAGGTTAGTTGATTATCTGCAGCACAGTTGTCTACATTTTCAGGTAGCTCCTGCACCTCTCAACCTGTCTTTGAAGCTGCTAGTCCAAGAGGCATGTGAACCAATTCAAGTTGACCGTAAACATGGGGAAAATGCTTCTTAAAAATCTCTCCTCTGTGTCTGTTATGTTCACTTAATATTAACAGATGAGAATGGGCATGTAATGGGATCCTGTTGATGGGACTCCAAGTTCTGCTTCAGTCTGTGACCTTGAACAGGATCTTATGGTTCATATGCATGATTTTTTGTTTTGTTTTGTTTTTTTTAGGAATTTAACAATGGTCATTACATTGTATATTGTTACTGTCAAAGTAGTCGCTCAGGTTATTAGATACAGAAATAGAACAGAACAGTAAAATGGAATAAAACATTGGATTTCAAAAGCAAGACAAAAAATCCCCCACAGTTGCTATAATGCATAGTTATCCTCCAATCCTACCACCTTTAGGCCTGCAAAGTCAATTAAACAATACAAGCATTAAGTTATTAATTTTTTTTTTTTTAACTTCTGTTGCTGTCATCGCAGCCTGAGTTCCTCCAAATCAGCCAATTGCTTATGGGCAAAATGACATTGCTTTTCTTGTCTCCCAAGCTGACATGCTGGCTGACTCACAGGAAGATGTGGCTTCTTGATTCCCCTCCTAGCCCACATGGCTGTCACTGGCTCACAGAAAATCATTAGCATGTTTTGTCCAGTCTTAAAAATTGCAGTTGGCCCTCTAGATCCATACGTGTTTTTTGTTTTGTTTTGTTTTGTGCTGTGGATTGAACTCATGACCTCACACTTACCAGGCAGGTGCTTATGGCCACTGGGCTAAATCCCCAGCCCTAGATCCATAGTTTTTGCATCTGCTCCATCAACCAACCTTGAATTTAAAATCTTAAAAAAGATAAACAAAAAGTCTGTACTGAACATGTAGAGACATTTTTCTTACCATTATTTTCTAACCATACAGTATAACTACTATTTACATAGCACTTACTTTGTATTAGATATTATAAGTAAGATACAGACAGATGCAGTAAGGCTAAGGATGTAGCTTAGTGGTTGACCAGAATGAGGCCCTGGATTTGATCATCAATACACACACACAGAGTGAGAGCAAGAGTGAGAGAGCGTGCGCGTGTGCATGTAAGCACAGTTGTCTGCATTCTAGGTAGTAGAAAAGGTGGGTGAGAGGGAACAGGAAGGAGGGGGAGAGATAGAGAGCATAAGTTATATGCCATTTTATTTAAAGAGGTTAAGCATCCATGGATATTGATATCTATAAAGGTTCTAAAACCAATCCCCTTCAGATATTTAGGGACCAATGTAATGAAAACGTTGCTTACTGTGTCCTTTTTTAAACAAGAAGAATCATAAGAACACACTGGCATTCACAGTAGATGAAATCTAACATTTCTCCTCCATGTGCCTGCCAGAATCGGCTACAGTCTCAGAGGGCACTGCTTCTGCGAGGCACTGAAAGCCTCAACCGGGCCACCCAGAGTATTGAGAGGTCTCATCGGATTGCCACAGAGACTGACCAGATTGGCTCAGAAATCATAGAAGAGCTGGGGGAGCAGCGAGACCAGCTGGAACACACCAAGAGCAGAGTAAGCCTGGGTAGACAGGGAAGGAGCAAGATATGGGGAAAGTATGTGGGCCGTACACTAAGGCTGGAAGCTACTGCAGTTCTGAATTCAGAGGAATAACTAGTTTTTGGTTCTTAATGCTTTCCTTAATTTTTAGTTAGGTTGGTAGAAAGAAGTGTCCCTTAAAAATAGTATCACCCCTATGATTTACATATCATTGGAAAAAATTGATTTAAAGACCGAAAAACCTAATTTTTGCATCTATAAGATTACAGCCACCCATCCTTACTAATTCTTATGTTCTTCCACTTTGGCAAGAGATGTGTCAAAAGACAACAATTAGAGCTGGGGATTTAGCTTAGCGGCATAAGTGCCTGCCTTGCAAGCAGGCAGTCATGAGTTCGATCCCTGGTACCAATTTAAAAAAAAAAAAGACATAACAATTCAAAGCCATCAACCTGAGATTTTTTATATTAGTGGAATGTTATTGTGAAAACATACTTTTAGGACTTTGTCATTTAGAAGCAAGGCTGTTTTTCCCCAAGTCAAAAATATTCTTGAGCTGGGAGTAGGGGTTCACTTCTATAATCCCAGCACTCTGAGAGGCTGAAGGAATGGGGTCATTGCTGTGATTTACCTGGCCATGTAGCTTAGAAACCTTTGGAACCGGTTTGGGGGAGGAGTTTGGAAAGGTTTGGAGATGGCAGGGAAGAGAACCCCTAGAATTCTATAAGTTAAGGTTAATGTGAGCATCTGGTCAGTGCTCAGAAGACCAGAATGCTGATAGAAATACAGATGACAAAGGCCATGCTTAGTGACTTAGTGAGACTCTATGTAAATCTAAAAAAAAAATTTTTTAAAGAGTTGAAGATCTAGCTCAGACCCTGCATTTTAGTCCCCAATATATCCAAAAACAAAAAACAAACCAAAAAACCCAAAAACGTCTCTGTTTGTAGATGTTTAAATCATAGTCCTGGACTGTGACTCTTTCCTGTTACTCAAAATAATTGGATCATTTTGAGAAGAAATATAGGGACCAAATGGTTCTCTTGGGGGAGGGGAGTTTCTTAATCTGTCATTTCACCAAGCTCTGAAAAATAATTTATTCCTCTCCTTCTATGAGTTAATATCCATAGGAATTTTCAAAAAAGTGCAGATGATCAGTGGCATGTGTGTTTATTGGATGCTGGGGATTGAACCCAAGACCTGACATGTGCTAGCCAACTGCTGTATCACTGAGCTATACACCAGCTAGCATACTATATTCTTTGGAGCATGGAGCAAACCCAAACTGAAGAATGTACTGGGATCAAGATTGAGACAGGAAAATACTGGCTTACTGTGAGAATGAGATTTTCTTACGTATTTTAAAAATGAAACATTATAGCTATTAAAACAAGTCAGAATGATACTCTTGCCCTTTCAGTGAAAATTCACAAGTGCTAAGTTCATGGCCAACTATGGAGAATGACATTTAACAAATTGCATGACCTTACATTTTTTAGTATACCAGGTGGATGGATTGAATTTGCAAGCCATAGAATGAGCCAAGAAGCTGAGTGATCAATTTACCGTGGCACTATAGAACAGGAACACTGTGTTGAAATATCTTCCTAGATTAGTATTAAGCAATCAAAAGAGAAAGGTCCATGTGGACTAGTCTATCCTTTTAGAATTCATAGACAAGTAATGTCATAGGAGATAATGACAGAAAAAAGTACCAGATCCCTAAAATGATAACCCACCAGCCTACAGACACAAACACCAACTCAGGAGGCTGTCCTAGAATTTGAATGATGAAATTCAAATCTTAAAATTGCTTTATAATCACTGGTTAGGTACATGAGAAACCTTCCTGTTCTGAGTGGCTGGTCCCAACGAGAAGTCCACCCATACACAGCCTTGGAAACTGATAATTCCCAGGCCTCCTTGAAGTGTGCTAAAGTGCCTTGTCCTTTTTAGGTCCTTCTGCTTGTACTCAGAGGCTATCATTTAAATTGGTTTGATTTCTTAGCATTTTTAATATTTTCCCCATCTTAATGCCCACTGTTTTAAGGATATTAAAGTTCTATATACTGTGTACTTTTGAAAGAAGCGAAAAATAACTGCTTATTTTCTCTTCTCAGCTGGTAAACACAAGTGAAAACTTGTGAAAGAAGCGAAAAATAACTGCTTATTTTCTCTTCTTAGCTGGTAAACACAAGTGAAAACTTGAGCAAAAGTCGAAAGATTCTCCGTTCAATGTCCAGAAAGTAAGTTTTAAAAAGTTGCAAAATTAATTTCTCTTAATATTGTTCAACAAAGAAAACATAAAACAGTGATTTACAAAGTTCCTAATAAATCATCTGAGTAAGGGAAACTGCATAGTCATGTACTCAGTTTTACCTAGCACATAAGCAGAAATTATAAATAAAGGAATATAGGTGTTTTGTTTTTTGTTTTGAGCCATGGTTTTACTAGGTATTCAGGCTGGCTTTTTTGAACTCTGCAGCTCAGACTGGCTTCTAATTCAAGGCAGTCCTCCTTCCTCTGCCTCCAGAGTGCTGGGATGACAGATGTGTGCCAAAGAATATAGTTTATGTAACGAAATATTCCGGGATAAGTCCTTTGTTAAATCTGTGTTCTACTCTGACTTGAAGCAGTGGGAAATTTGTCCACTGAAAAGACATTTAGTATTGCTCAGCTTGCATTTCTTAGAGAAGACATATGAGAATAATAGAGCTTCATACTCCTTGAAATACTTCTAAAACTTTACTATATAGCAGTTTTTACTGCTATTACTCAGTGTATGTCTTTGGCTCTGCTTGCCCTTCATGGGAGTCAGACCTTTTTTTCAGGTCCTGACTTACAGCAAGAAGACTTTAAAAACAAAACAAAACTGAGGTAAGTATTGCCACTGAAGCTGAAATTGGTATTAGGTTGAGGTAGCATGAATGACCTTTGGCACATGTGGCCAGCATGAAACAGAACTACAACCCATTCATTAACCAGCAAGAGGGGTACTTTTCCTAAATAGGAGTTAATTCCTCATGGAGTAGGAAGAAACCCATGATGAATATGAGGACCAGAGAATTGATTCTGTCTATAAACACGAGTAAATTTTTAAAGAAATACAGAGAACTAGAAAAGATTCACATCTGTCCAGTTAGGAATGGAAAAGGCAAAATCATCATAGATCCTACAGAAATCCAGAGACCCTATATTCTGGTAAGATAAAAAACACACAAGAAACAGAGAAATATGAATTACCAAAGATGAATCAAGAAGATAGAAATATTCTAAATAAACCAGTATCAGTCAGCAAAGTTTAAGATGTCATTTAAAACCTACCAAAAAGCTGGGCATGGTGGTGCACACCTGTAATGTCAGCACTTGAAAGTTGGGGCAGCAGGATTGCTTCTAGGCCAGCCTGGACTATAGAGTGAGTTCAAAACCAGCCTGAACTCTGTCAGCAAAACTCTGTCTCAAAAAGACCAAAAAAGAAAGAAAGAAAACCAACAAAATCCCAGGCCCTGATGGATTCACTGCTGAATTTTACAAGAAATTGAGAGCAGACCTAATATAGCTAAAACTCTTTAATGAAATTAAAAGGGAAGCAATAATCGCAAATTCATTCCTGGAAGCAAGCACTACTGTGCTACCAAAACCAGACAATCCAACTAAAAAAAGGAACTACAGGCCGATCTCCCTAATGAACATAGATGTAAAAATTCTCAAGATATTGGCAAACACAATGCAGCAAATCAAGATTATACACCATGACCAAGTGGAGTCATCCTAGCAGTGTAGTGATGGTTCAACATATGCAGATCAATAATTGTGATACACCATATCAGAGACAAGAACAAATATCATATAATCAGGCTGGGGATTTAACTCAGGAGTGTAAGCACCATACCTGGGGAGCTCTAGGTCTTGAGTTTGATCCCCAGTACAAAGAAAAAAAATGATATAATCATCTCAATAGATACAGAAAAAGCTTTCAAAGTCCAAGACTCATTGATGATGAAAACAGTAAGAAATTTGGAATAGATGGTCTTTATCTCAAGCTGATAAAAGCCATGTATGACAACAGCCAGCATTATACTAAATGGATAAAAATGAAAGTTTTCACTCAAAATCAGGAACACGACAAGGATGTTGGCTATCGTCACTCTTATTCAGCAGTTTTGGAAATGTTAGCTAAAACAGTTATACGAGAAAGAAAGGGAAAGATAGGAAAGAAAGAAGTTAAATTATCATTTTTGGATGATGTGATACTATATATAGCAGACCCCAAAAACTCCACCAAAAACCTTCTAGATTTAATAAGCAATTCAGTAGTATAAATAAATACAGTGTCAACACTCAAAAATTAATAGCATTCCTGTACACAAATAACTGAAAGAAATTATGGAAACCACAAGTAACTCACTGAGAGAAACTAGGGAAATACCACCTTTTACAATAGCATGGCATAAAAATGAAATACCTAGGAATCAATCTAATGAACAATGTGAGTGCTGTGAAAAAGATCAGAGGATATCAGAAAAAGGTAGAAAAAATCAATGTAGTGAAAATGGCCATACTTCCAAAATTGTTATACAAATTTAATGCAATCCCAATCAAAACAACAGCCTATCTCAGAAAATTAGAGAAAATAATCCTAAAATTCATTTGGAACACGAGACCTAGAATATCAAAAGCAGTTCTGGGCAACACAGGCAAGGCAGGAGGCATCACAATCCCCAAATTGAAATTACACCATGAAGCTACTGTGATAAAAAAGCATGGTACTGGCAAAAAACAGATCCAAGGATCAGTGGAACATACTAGAAGGTGCAGCAACAACTCCAGACATACTTGGCTACCCTATCTTTGGGTAGCCAAGCACCTTCACTGAAAAAGAAGGTAGCTACTTTATTTAATAAATAGTGCTGGAAACTGGCTTTCTACCTGCTAAAGATTAAAATCAGACCCATAGTATTTCACCATGCACTAAACTAATACTGAAATCGATCAATGATCCAAATATTAAATACTAAATCTGCTGGAATACAGAATAGATAGAACTGTTGAAAACACGAGTGTAGGCAAAGACTTCATGTACAAAATTCTAATTGCACAGAAATTCACAAAAAATCAACAACTGGGGTCTCATTTTGCACAGCAAGAGCCAGGTGTGGTGGCTCATGCCTGTAATCCCAGCACTCAAGTATCGTTGCAAGTTTGAGACCAGCCTGGACTACAAAGTGAGCTCAAGGCCAGCCTGAACTGCATAGCAAGACCCTGTCTCAAAAAGATTAAAAAAAAAAAAAATTAACATTTTGCACAGCAATAGAAACCACTAGCAGAGTGAAGAGATAACCCACAATGTGGGGAAAAATTTTTTTGCTGTTCCTCAAACCAAGGATTGCTATCTAGAATACATAAAGAACTCAAAAAAAAAAAAAAAAAAAATTAAGATCTTCCACGTTTAAGACCCAATCATTTGAGATGTAAATTAAAACAGTGCTGAGATTCCATCTTACTCCAGCAAGAATGACTTAAGAAATCAGTAGTTACTGATAGGACTATAGAGGAAAAAGACTACTTCTCCACTGGTGGTAGAAGTGTAGACTATTGCAACCACTATGGAAATCGGCAGATGTTCCTCAGAAAACTAAAACTAGAGGTTCTGTTCAACCCAGCTATTTCCCTTTCTGGTGTCTTCCCAAAAGATTTAAAAGCATCATACTGCAGTGATATGTGCACACCCATGAATAATAGGTGTTGGGAAATGGGAAGAAAATGTTCAAATGAGGAGAACAAGGGAAGGGGAGAGGAAAAGGAAAAAGGGACAAGAAAAATAAGGAGGGGAACGGGTTGAAGGGAAAAGAGGGGAATAGGAAAAAAATAAGATCTATGCAAGTACAAATTCCCTATGTTGAATTATTATGTATATAATCTAAAATGTACCAATAAAAAATAAACATAAGAGAAATAACTGAATAGGACAGCAGAGCAAAGAAAACAATTAGGAAGGAATTTTTACAAGATGTTGAAAGGCAGTACCCAGGCTTCCAGTTACCTATCCTAAAAGCAGGACCCATCTGTGAGCTGGAGTTTGACACAAGTCTGTCCTAGTCCTTTTCTCATTCACACCTGTGGTTTATAACTGCTGTGGTTCTACATTACTAGATAAGTGATATTTTATTTCTGCTATTTCAAATGATGATTTGGAAACATTTTAGAGTCAAACATTTTTATGCTTTGTATCTGTTTTCCACATTTCTGTGAAGTAGTGTTCTAAGTGACAACATTATGAGTTGTCACTTACCAGCCAAAGAACATTAAGATCCCTTTTTAGGGGCTGTCATTGTGACCCCCAAAAATGTCAGTGGTCTTTACAGTCTGACCTCTGCTTCACAGATTGACCTCGAGTCAAATCTCAAAAGTATTCAGAACAGCACGAAAAATGGTTTTGTAAATTACTTTTTCTACTTCTCTGTATAGAGTGACAACCAACAAGCTGCTGCTTTCCATCGTCATCTTACTGGAGCTCATCATCCTGGGAGGCCTGGTTTATTACAAGTTCTTTCGCAAGCATTGAACTTACAGGACGGGCTTTGTGGATCAGAGCCATGACCCTGTGAATGAGTGGTGGTAGGCAGGACATGGAATAAGCGTGCTGCTGCTGTGGGCTGACAGTTCAAGGGTGCACTGTGTAGCCAGACTATGGGAAGAGGGGGTCTGGACAGAAAACCACGTAAATGTGAAGGAAGAGTGACAAGACCAGTATGATATACCAAGGTAATAAATGTTTATGATTTCTTCAAATTTACATAATACTACATTAATACCTAGGGAACTGCAAAAAAACAAATACATTTACAGTAATATTGTTGGTCACCAAAATAGGGAAAACTACAGTTGTGAGAATGCCAAGATGTTCTTATTAAGGCAGTATTGACCCAGATAGCCGTTTACATCTGTCCCGCAAAATGCCTCAATTCTGGAGTGCCCACTGTGAAACATTCCAGCATACAATATTTTCTAAATTCTCACACATTCTTTGTTTTCTGATTCATCCGGTGAACTGGGAGTAGGAAGTTGATCATAGATGATGTGCCCTCCTTCCCTTGTCTGACCAAAGCTGGAAGCAATCACATCCACCGCGAGGCTAGCTGTAGCCTTTGCTTCTTCCTCTGAAGTGGCCGAGTGAGGATTGACCTCCACCAAATCCAGTGCTGACAACAACCCTGGAAGAACAAGGTAGACAGAACTTTAGAAAAGTCCCTAGCTGCTACTGTGAGTGAGAGTTACCCTACCTGGACAAAGAAAACGTGGCAAGATAAAAACAGTAATTTTCTACTATGAAATTATTCTCAGGAAGCCCCTTGTACCCCATGCTCTTGACCACAACTTTAAAACACTGATATATATATACATACTGGAGGAGGACTGAAAGAAACGTTTAAGGCAATGAAGTCATACATGCTCAACTAACACAGTAAGCATAGCTGTCAGGCTTTGTGACACTATTACCTGTTTTTATTTCTTGTGTTTTGTTTTTTGTTTTTTACAGTGCTGGGGAAGGAGCTGAGGGCCCCACCTTTATCTCCTAAAGTGCATACCACCTGCCCTGAGATGTAGTTACAGACTTTATTCCTGTCCTGCCTGCAGAAGTGCTGACAGCAGGCTCCATTTTTCATCTCCCAGCATACTGTCCCAGCATCTTATGTATGGTCAAGGGAAGACTTAGCCATATGTTACTATTTAGTTTGGACTCCAGCTACCTTCTATAAGGATTTGAGAATTTGTATCTCAAGTTCCTTTTGTCCACAGTGAACTGAGGAAAAGGGACAAACCTTTCAGATCTGTCCTGAACTGTTCTCACCTCATACTTGGTCTACTTCTGTAGAGAATTTAGCTTTTTAATTGGTTATTCTCAGTGAAATTATTCTACCTGCTGAAGAGCCACCTGAGCAAATTTTCAGTAATACAATATTGGAGAATATAAAGGTCAAAGCCAGAATCCTGAGTGAATTTACCTAACAGATTCTTGATATTACATGATTGTAAGTGATACCTTTAATGCCTATGGAATCTATTCAGTGTCTTACCTTCTGAGCAGTGCATAGTTGAGTGCGCTGTGCAACACTGTAGTGGACAGATGTGTTAGCATAGAATTTCTGTCTTTTATTGCACATGTTCCTGTACCGCTGATGGATTATGTCTCTGAATTCCACCGGCTTAACATGTACCTTTAGCATATACCAAAAGTAGTAATCCAGAGGGTTTGTACTATTAAAAATATATATTGCTGTATGTCCAGATTACTTACCATCCTCCAAGTTTAAAAGCAAATGGCTCATGTATTTGTAGTTGACAGTGTTATACAGTCTTTTGGGGCTGTTTTTTGTTATTGTTTTTGAAACAAGGTCTCACTATGTATGTAATGCAGGCTAGCCTCAAAATGAGCAATTCTGCCTCAGCTACTGCCCAAGTGCTACAGTTACAGGCATGCACTATTGTGACCAACTACCTTTTGAAATAAAATACTGCAGCAGGGGAAGGAAGCCCAAGGCATGACCACTGCCACATCTGAGTGTTGCAAGTTATTAACTGTTCCTTGGAGTGGTGTCATTGGGAAGCAGAGTAGAGGACTGAACTCCCAGTTCTCTCCCCACTGACCCACACCCCTTAACAGCATCTGAATTGATGGGACTGAGAATGAGATACTTGCCACTGTCAGCCTTACCAGGCAGTATTTGCTTAAAGTCCTAGGAGACTCCAGGCTTAGTGCCTATTTGTATCCATTAGTCAAGGGCTCCCTAGAATCCCAGAATTGTAACCAGAATTAGCCTGTGAACTGAAGGCCTGTAGAAGGGTCTTGGGGTCCATATATGTCTTTCTTTACCTCAGTTGCATAATGGTTACGAAGCAGTACCATGTGGTAGTTTATAAATTTTGGAAGCAGCTGTCATTTAAAATGGCCTAAAAACCAGTAGCTTCATGAAAAATGGAAAATGTGAGCAAACAAATAGGAGTTCAATAGGAGCCACAGTACTGGTGGCTACTATCAATAATCCAAGCCAGCCCTATCAGCCAATCATCCAAATGTCTTTTTTTTTTATTAAAACACCAATCAAACAAGCTCTGAGACAAAACATCCTAGATAAAAAGGACAATAGTACTGACCAACTTGTAATAATCTTTAAGAGATCAGGTTTAACTCCAAATTCCCACTCATAACAAACCAGTAACCTCTATTAGAGTTAAAAGTTGTGGCCATTTGATTTTAATCTGATGACGTATACACAAGGAACTGCGTCAGTTTGGCAGTCTATTCTTAAATGTTGTGTGTGGACACATTTTCATATTTATGATTACCTTAGCACGTATCTTGGTACAATCCAGATCCAGATATGCCTCTAAATGACTTTCTTTATTGTCTGGTCATATGCTTTTTAGCTATTACAGTTTAAGCAAAAACAGTCTGCTGTGACATGAAATAGAAAAGATCACCAGTGGGCAAGAGTCAGTAGCATATTTAGAGAAGGAATTAACAGGTTGCAGACCTGCTTGCTCCATACCTGTATTGTGTACTTCTTCACCAATATACATGCCTTCTCGATAGGTCAGTCCCCCTACCACAGGGGTTCCTGTGGCTGGAGCCAGTGTAGGGTCAAATGCGTCAATGTCAAAACTCAGGTGGATTGGTCTTTGCCTTCTGGAAAAAAAGACAAGAGAATATATTTTTGGTAGTGGTTGTATGTGCCTTCCTGTGATTGCAACTCCTTGATTTTGTTCCTCTTGACCCTGGTACAGTGGTACTTCAGTTCACAGGCTAATTCTGGTTACAACCAGAATAGTGGAAAGAAAAAAGCTTATGAACTGAGGTACCACTGTATTTTATTAATATAGCAGATTTCCAGGTTTTCTGTTCCTGGGAGTTACACATTAGTTTTGTACACACTACTTGATGATATTGCCATTTGTTCTACAGGCCTCACAGGACTAATTCCAGTTTATGTTTCTGGATGTAGCATGGGCACTAGAGCCTCTTACAGTAGAAACTATCCATATAATGAACACTTTGTTTCCATAGGAGACTGAGCTCTCATATATTGAATTTAAGTTCAATAGCATGTTAGCATGATCAGGGTTACAGTTCTGGTTATTCTGAGTAGAACAGTAGCTGGACTTAATTCTAATTTTATGTCTGCACACCTAACAACTTGCAATTTCAATGTGAATGCAGGTGTCCAACAGCCAAAACTAATGCCCAACACCTTTATGCCAAATAACTGTGTTTCTTAACAGCTTAGGAAGTGACATTCATCATCCAGAAGTAAAGTCTTGGTATCAGGAAAATGGTCTTTCCTTCCCTTCCCCTTTTTCAGACAAGGTCCCACAAAGTTGTCTAGGCTGGCCTCAAACTTGTTATCCTCCAGCCTCATCCTTAGTAGCTGGTATTACTATTGTGTGCCACTCCATTTGGCAGAAAAAATGCTCTTTAAATTAGCATTTGATTAACATTTATCTGCCCTCTTTCTGTACTACTAGGATTTGGTTAATATAAAACTCGGATGATGCCATAATGAGGCTGAAAACTGTGGGCCCCTGGAACAATGTATGCTTCTCATCTCCAAGGATAACGTGAAAATGGAGGCAAAGGGAAGTTTATCAGAGACAGAATCGGGGCAGCGACTTCAAGGAAATCCCCTCCCCGCTGAGAAAGAAGATACTCACCTCATACTACACTTTTGTCAAATACTAGAAGTTTTTATATGTTTGAGTTTTCCTTTTGTTTTAAGTAAGTTACTATCTATGCTCAAGGGACTTTAGCTGCTCTGAGGCCTAGAGGTAGACATACATTTTAGCTACTTACTTGCCAATCAGCAGATCAAATGTCTGTTCCATGACCTTCTGGATGCCAAGTCGATCAATATCTCTCATGGAAAAATACTGAATATCATAGTTCTTTAAAATAAAGCTGGTGAGATATAAAGAAATTTTTAGTTTAAAAAACACTTTTAAGACTAGTGTGGTTACCAAGCATGATGGCATATACCTATAATCCCGGCACTTGGGAGGCTAAGGCAAGAGGATCACTGTGAGTTTAAGGCCAGCCTAGGCTACATAAGCAAGTTCAAGCCCAGCTTGCACTATATAATGAGACCCCGTCTCCAAAAGAGAGAGAGAGAAAAGACACTGGTGTGGTGGTACATACCTCTAACCCTAGCACTCTGAGGGTCTCAAGCAGGAGGGTCACAAGTTCAAGTCCTACCTGGGCAACTTAGCAAGACCCTGTCTTAGATTTTTAAAAGGGACCAGGATATGCAAAGGCAACAGTATTGTCAAAACATCTGATGAAATATAAAAGGAAAAATGTCTGTTTAAGGGAGTTTTACCCTTATATTGACCACAGCAGATTAAGTCAAGCATCAATGTATAAAAATGCAAGTGGACTGGTAGCACAGCTTAGTGACAGAGCACTGGCCTACCATATGCAAGGCCCTGGGTTTGATCTCTAGCACCACCAAAAAAACCCCAGCTGGCCGGCACAGGGTCAAAGCTTAATCTGAATGCAGCAACTTACTGTTCCGGAGGGTCCACATCTCTTAGGCCAATATACACAATATTTGGGGAGGACAGACAAGGTTTGATCCAGGAAAAGCCTGGGAATGGTGGTATCTATGAAGAGAAAATGAACAGGACTAATCAAGAATTCTTAGTGTCTCATCAGCATGCACTTCTGAGGGTATACAGTTGCTTTCTCCTCTTGTCCTTGGGACATATCCCTTTTAAAGCAATGCAAAACACACTTGATCTATAAATGGAAATATTTCAGAGCAACTGAAAGACAGTATTAGCCTCCTCAAAAAGATTGAAAACAATCTCGTCTAAGGTAGTCTTGGTTTTTCATTTACTTACCTAGTAACAGGAATATGCTGATTAGTCCTCCATTTCCTTTGCACATCACTGGACTGTTTACAGATTGGTTTTTAAAAGCTTAACTCAGTTGCCATTGTAAGTTATCAACAGCCAAATGAATCATCTTTGTACTATGCTGGTTTAACTTGGTTTCTCACTGAAGAGGGGGACTATAGAGTCTAGTTTATGGCTAATACAGACTCTGATATGTTAAGAACATTTCAGAAAGACAGCACTCAGAGGCGACCAAGGTATTGCTATATTCTGTATTAGTGTACCTGAGTGTGTAGCCTGGAAGCCTCTAACCAAGAAGCCCTCAGACTGTGGAATACCCATCACTGCCTTTACTACATACTAGCATTTCACTTTTACCAGATCATGAACCCTTCTCCACAATAGCAGGGATCATGTCCTAGGCGTCTTTATATCCCCAGCATCTAGCAGACTACCTAGTCTGTTACACTATTTAATGAACAAGTGAAAGGCTGTTAAGCCATACTCAATCCATCCTTCACCTCAGTCTTAGTGAACTAGATCCCAGAAGCCCCAGGATAATCCTATGGGACAATTACCTTCTCCTTTTGGCCCACTGACCTTGTCCTGTAGTTCTCTGAGGAGAAATGCTACTGGCTGTCCGTGGATGTTTCCTGATACGGAGGTGAGGGGTGTATTGATGTCAGCATGGGCATCAACCCAAATGACACAAAGGTCTGGGCAGTGCCGGGCGTGGCCACTAATAGTACCGATTGCCAGGCTGTGAAGAACAAATACAATCTTCAAGGCCCTCTACTTGATAAATATCACCTGTAACAAATACCCTCAGCCAACACTGTTTACACTCTGTCCTCAGGGCAAAGTCAGGACCTAAACTGGGTCAGGGTAAGACCAGAGCCCTTGGGTTGTACTTCCCAAAGTGGATCACAGGAGAAATGTAAAGCTCTAAAACATTCAGTGCTGATAACCAACTTGCATTGAAAGCTATTTCTGCCCACCCTGCCTCCCATATAATTATGATTATGATCCTCCAGCAGTCCTGGCCCAGAAAAGGACCCAAAGATTTGTTCGTTAATGAAATCTAGTTAAATGATGTGAGCTGTATGAAACAACTTGCAAAAAATGTTGCTTTATACTTCCTAAGGGAGACCTGGAAAATCTAATGCTAACTTCCAGAGAATCAGTTACAAGAATAAAAATTAGCAGCACTGTGGGTGTAGCACAGCAGTAGAACATGTTTGGTCCTGGTTTAATCCCTGCATCACCAGGAAAAAAAAAAAAGAAAAAAATTATCAAGCCTTACAGCTTTTTAGAAAGCTTGTATGTAATGCTTCCTAAAACCTGAAAAGTCAAAGTTGTTAAACACTGAATTAACAGGGAAACTCCAGTTAAAGATCTAATACACCACTGAGTAAAATAAAGCGTATTAGCAGGAATGTTACATTACGTATATTTGCATAGCATTCAGATATTTTGAAGTGTTTCTCTGTTTTGCCTTTCTTTGTCCTTGGATTCTATTTATGTTAGCTATCTGCTCTATCTCGGCAGCTAGAATACCCAAGCTTCCTCCCATCCAAGGGATTTATCATGGGAAGTGCAGTTTAAGCATCTTAGGAAGTAGGGACAGCCAGCCGTGGTCAGTACAGCAAAAGACAGCCTCATAGGCTTCCCACCACATCGGGTCCTTCTGCGAGATAGTACAGTGCTAATGACAAGTGAACTTGGAGTACAGGAGTTCTAGTTCAAGAAGAGTTTTATGGCTGAAGCCACTCATCTAATTTCTCTCTAGTTTCCAGCTTTATAGAAAGGGTTACTCATACTTGGCCCATTTAAATCAGGAGTGGTTTAATGATTATGGTGATAGTGTAAGTTTTATTCTATAAAAGGAGTGATCTGAAAATGCCTCATCCTTTAAAATGTTCAGCAATTGTTGAGGTTATACATCTAGCCCTTCCTTGCTACAATCTACATAAAGCCTGAGTTTCAGTGTTGAATAGGTAATAGGTAAGCAGTAAGGTGACTGCAGTATAGATAGCCACAAGCAAAGAGGAAAAATAGACTGTGATAGTCACAGTGTTCAGATCCCCAAATAGTGAGAATTGACCAGAAGAAAGACTAAACTTCCAGAGTCAGCGCTGAGCAAGGAGGCAGGAAACCTGTGCTGCAGTTTAATTAACTTTTATATCCTCCCTGGATTTTTATTCCTAACATGGGATCTGCCTGCCTCTTTTGGGGCTAGGGATGATATTCAGTGGTAAAAACAGTTGCCTAGCGGGGAAGAAGTCCTGAGTCTAAGCCCCAGCTCCCCACCTCCAGATTTAACTGACTGATCTGAAAAGCTGATTGAGCACCTTAGGGAAAACTGCCACACTGGGCCTGAAAAGAGAAATTAATTACCCTTGGGGTCACATTACCAGCATCCTACCATGGCTCTGCTACTTTCTGACTCAAAGCTTTGGGTAACTTACCTAGCCTCAGCACTTTGAGAAGAATATCAAATAAAAACCTTATGGCGTCCCAGAAGGAACTGATAATATGTATGAAATCTTCATACTCCTAATATTTTAGGTGCATCTTGCTACCAAAAACCTTTATTATTTAGCTTGTATCATACTCTTATTATTTAGTTTGTATCATACTCTTGGGAAATCTGACTACTGTAGCCCAGATTGATCTCTGATCTTGTCTCTGAAATTCTGTGAAATTCAGTATTTGCAAATTTTGACTCCATATGTATTACTTTCATCTAGTTCTAATAGATCACAGGTTTCCCCTATTTCCTAGCACTGCTGAAAAAAATTCTGTACAGTTTTCAGTAAAGTACACGCTAATTTGTTAGAGACAAAAAATAGTCACCTAAGGACCATAATGTGGAGATTTTAAAAATATATTGACTTGGTGGGGAACAAGGTATCTAACAGATCTGTTAGCAGAAATGTTAACAAAAAATGCTTACATTCGGCTTGTTGATAGCTTCTACCAATTCTCCAAAATAGTCAAATGAAAAATAATTTCTCAAGAAGCATTTCTAACAGGTAAGCATGAAACACTATCTAAAAACCTTTATCTATGTCTAGCCTTGCTCTGTAAAGGTACACATCCTCTTAAAATAGTGCATTGTATGAAGCAAATCACAGTGTCATTAGCAGCTCATGATCTTAAAACATTAAAATGCTACAACAAACATCATGCCCTAAAAATTCTATAGAGTGTTTTTTCTAGGTGAGGAAACCAAGTAAAATGCTCGGGCTCTTACCTGTGGTCTCCTCCCACCGTGACACAGCTGTAGCCATCTGACACAGCTCTACTGACCACCTCAGTCAGTTCCTGGTTAGCGAGGCCCACTGAGCGTGGATTCTCTACCAGGTTGTTGAAGGGCTCATCATTGAGAACTGGAGTAAAACTCAAATCTCCAAAGTCTTTGAGGCGGCAGCCTGCAAACAAATGAGGGAATGACAAGGTGAACTGCATGTGCTATTCTCACTGGCCTGTGCCACAAATAAGAATTTGTGACAGCATCACATTCATTTTGTCAGTAAAATTAGAAATGTCACATGTAACTGTACGCAACAGCACATACCTGTAATCCCAGCAACTCTAGAGGTAGAGGCAGATCACAAGTTCAAGGCAACTTAGCAATGTCTCAGAATTTAAAAAGAGTTAGGGATGTAGTTCAATGGTAAAGTACTCCTAAGTTTCATCCCAGTACCACAAAAAAATTCACATGACTAGCAGAATTACCTCAGTCCTCCCAGCAACCCAGCAGTCCTATTATAAACACCATTTTTCCAAAGAAGCTGTCTTCAGAAAGAGACAACCTAGAGATGTTAATTAACCTAGCAATCACAGAAATGGGGAGGGCAGGGATATAGCTCAGTGGCACAGCATGTGCCTGGCAAGTGCTAAGTTGTGAGTTCGATTTCCTGTACTAGAAAGAAAGAAAATAAGTTGGTAGCAATTAGACCTCATGAATCCCAGAATTATGAAGCAGAATTAAAATACCAAGACTAACCAATAGGACTTAAAGAACATTAAGTATTTAGAGCAAAAATAAATTAGAAATTCTCCTACATTGTTTTATAAAATAAAAAGTTATCCCAGGAAGCTGAGGCAGGAGGATCATTGCAAGTTGGAGACCAGCCTAGGCTACAGAGTGAGCTCAAGGCCAGCCTAAACTGCATAGTGAGACCCTGTCTCAAAAAGACAGAAAATAAAAAGTTGGAGGAACTAAAGCGTACTAAAAGAAGTATAGCATTTATTGATTATTCAAAAGGTCCCAAGCATTGTATGTAACCACAGAACACAAATTCCTATTTAAAACAATCATATTAGGCAACTGAAATACAAGGATACCAGTTCCATAGTTGAGGGAACAAGCAAGGAAAAGTAACCTGGAGAGGTCACACAATTGCTGAGTATCAGAATCAGGAGCTGTTTCTCACTTGGTCACAATATTTCTATTCTTTACTGCACAGTTTATCTCCCATCATGAACTACATGCGTCTTCTGACAACTTCAGTATTTTCCCACCTACACTGAGGGTGAGGCTATCAGAAAGGAACTAAACTATCAGAGCATCCTGCTTGTACCTGTAGGCCCCTGCTCCTCAAGTGGGTGTCCAGGTAAGGGTAGTGGTGGGGAATTTGTAACAGAACTGATATAAAATACATCTTTTTACTTGTAGAGATTTGTTAAACTCTTGGAGTAAGACCAGAATGAATTTAAACTGTATGGTTTTGAGCTTTTTTTTTTTAAACCCAAATTCAGTCTAAAGCCAAAGTTTTAAGGAATGTAAAGATCTGAGAAGCATGTACCTAGAATTTAAATCCATAATGCCATCCAAGAGGTCACCATCAAAAGGCATATTGGAGGGGCTGGGGATTTAGCTCAGTGGCATAAGCACCTGCCTTGCAAGCAGGCGGTCGTGAGTTCAATTCCCGGTACCGATTTAAAAAAAAAAAGGCATATTGGTAGCAAAACAGATAGATAACCTTATCCCAGTGGTCGCAAACCTATGGCATGTGTGTTGCAGCAGGCTGGTTGTATCACTGAGTGCTCTAAAAGGCGCCCCATATCCTATTCTCAACTAAAGGATAGACAGACCTGAAACTAGAATTCTGTATGTATCATTTGGTCACTGCACTTTAAAAAATCATAAAAGACCCTCAGATCAGGGGAGATCCTGACAACTAAAATTAGAAAGAGAAGAGGAATACAGATAGAATATGACAAAGACCAAAGACATGGTGAACCAAAAAAAGAGATAACCAAATAAAAATCTATGAAAATCTTTTATTTTGGGAGTGTTGGGGTTTGAACCCAAGGTCTCATACATGCTAGGCAAATAGTGCTCTACTGCTGAGGTACACACTCCAGTCTCTAGGTTTTTTAAAAAGAAGGTCAGAAGATGTTACCAAGTCTCAAAGTATGGGGCAGATAAATTAGACTGAAGAGAAATTATGCTTTGACTAATTTTTTTTTGCTTTGACTAATTTTCAATTAAATTCCAGCTAGTAATGCAGCCCCAGAGGACCATAACCTTTCAATATTACTATATTACTATATTTTAGCAATATTTTACATAACTTGATTGTGTGGTGCTTGAACATGGACTGCATATTCACAGTGGAGTGCCGTGTAAGGAAGGCACGGTGCAGGGTCACTGACTCCTGCGTGTGTCACAGGCAAATAGAAACTGTGTGCACTTGTGCAGCCTGGCAAGCCAAACACAGCAGTTACTGGTAATAGTATTTTAACCCACCTACATGAGTGCTTGTGAAAACACATTTACTGTTCTTAAGCAGAAATGTAAGTTTTCTTAACTGTCAGACTTGGGCTTAGTGTGTTATTTCATAAGTTAAAAAGTTTTAAGTTTGTTCTCTATTACCTATATGATGTATTTTATATGTGCCCCAAGACAATTTCTCCTTACTCACTGAGGCCTAGGCAAGCCAAAAGGTTGGACACCCATGCACTACAGATGCCTGGTATTTTGTAATATTATGTGGACAATGATAAAAGCTTTGTAATCTAATTAAGAAATGTTAATATTAACTAACTTAAAAACTTCTTGCCAAGCACTTTAACTCATTAAACCTCTTGCCAGGCACTTTTTTTTTTTTTTTCCTTTTTTTGGTACCGGGGATTGAACTCACAACCTTCCACTTACCAGGCAGGTGCTTACACCACTGAGCTAAATCCCCAGCCCCTTGCCAGGCAGTTTTAACTCCTTAATAATCATGTAACTGATACTGAGAAATTAAAGTTCCAGTGGATAAGTGGCAGAACTTGGAGAACATTCAAGTTTAATCATGAAAACCAGGATGTGGACTCATAGATAAGTGTAACAAACCAGCAATCCACTCATTTGTATCTATAAATCAGAAAAAGTAGCACAAGGCTGAGAAAGAATTTAGAAATCTTAGAAGCAGCCTTACAACAATGCTCTCCAAGGAAGAGAGACTGAATTTCATAAAAAGATTTTGGTCATGGAATGTATATAACTGCTGTGAGAACATTTACCAGATGCATAGCCTGATGGTAAATGCTACTGATTACCCAACTACTCAGATTTCCTTCTCACCAACAGCCTCTTGGTTACCCACTTGGCATCACATACCAGCAAGGACTTCCAGACTGGGCACAAGCAAGACTATCACTCAACATCATCATGCACGGACACTGGTTTGTTTCTTGAGACAGGGTCTTGCTATGTAGTTTCTCTTGGCTAAAGAACTAGCATGATCAGCATGTGTCTTGGTTTGAAAGCCTGATGAACTCCGCACACAGCAAGGCTTGTGTTTCTGGATCCAGAAAGCTCAGAGCCAAAGCCTGAAGGGATTAAGATCTTGAGAGCCCCCACTTGAAAGGCCTATTCTCTGTGATTCCCCACCCTCCCCTGCTCTTTCCAAACTTAAGTGGCAGGTAAGGACTAGGGACAGGCATGCTAAAGGAGTCAGAGAAAGCAAAGGATTGGGGCAGTCAAGCGAAGACCCCTACAGGTAAAGTCTGTACCAGCATTCTCCTGCTGTGTCTCCCCTCTTCTCCTACCGGCCATGGAAATTCTCTGTAAAAATGATTAAGGAAGTATATAATGGTAGAGTGCCCCATCGTACTTCTCAGACCTGAACGGTGTATCCTTGTATCCTTTACACAGAAACAATACATAATATTCTTTTTTCCTTTCTTTCTTTTTCGGTACCAGAGTTCAAACTCGTGACCTTGCACTTACCAGCCTGGTGCTTATGCCACTGAGGTAAATCTCTGGGCCACATAATATTTTAAATAAGATCATTAGGGAGCTGGGGATACAGCTCCATGGTAGAGCACTTGCCTAGTATGTGTGAGCTCCTGGGCTTAATCCCTAGTACTAGAAAAAAAAATTACTAGGTAAAATAAGCTACATTGATGTCATAAATCTCCCCAAATAGTGGCCTAAATAGTGTGTCTCTTGCTCATTTAACACTAAAGTACATACTCCAGTGAGCAGGACCTGGTAGTGGCTGTGCCATATGTAGGACTTTACCATCTGTGTGGCTAAAGCTGGGTCTTCCCCATGTTTAAGGCAGCAGGAGGGGAAAAGCACAGAGAAGGCACCACCTCTGTAAAGGCCTGTTTTAGAATTGGCACGTTGCTCTTGCCCAGGTGACTGGCACCAAATATAGATCTAACTTACATCCAGAGTGAGCATGGATTGTGGTAGACGACTAATCTGCCACAGTGAATCACTTTTTTAAAAAATTCTGCCATAATCTTTAAGTGATTAAGAGCTCAGAATACTAAAGCTTATTTTGCTCTACGATTACCAATTTAATTGTTCCATTCTAGTTCTTTATGGAGTTGAGACAGAAATACCCATCCTGAGGTACCCTTTTGAAAGCTTTCTCCTCTGAAGCCCACTGTACCAAGAACATCAAGGTTCCCAGAGGACCAGGAGACTAGAACTCAGCATTGGTTTCTAAAGGGTGAACAAGGGCCAGAAATCAGAAATATACATGTCATTGACAACAACTGACCAGTATAATAACAGTAAGAAGCCCGCATACTGCAGGATACTGCAGCAATGTGATGTGAGGTGGCAGAAAACATTAATTGTTACCCAAAGGAATGGAGATTGATAGGAACTTAAATTTTTTTTTTTTTTTTTTTGGTCTTTTTTAGACAGGGTCTCTCTGTGCAGTTCAGGCTGGCCTTGAGCTCATTTTGTAGCTGAGGCTGGTCTCGAACTTGCAACGATCCTCCTGCCTCAGCCTCCTAAGTGCTGCGATTACAAACTTGAGCCACCACGCCCGGCTGGAACTTAAATTTTTTGTGAGACTAGGATGAACTGAATAATACTAAAGCTGTTTATCACAGTGCTATGGCAAATTCTGGTAGTTCAGTGGGCATAAGGAACGTTCTTTCTAATTTTTAAAGAATCTTGCAGTAATAGTGATACTATTAATAGAGCAGTAATTATTAGCAATACAGCAGAACCAGACATGGTGATCTGTACCTGTAATCCCAGCTCTTGGGAGGCTGAAACAGAAAAAGCCCAAGTTTATACCATCCGAGGCTGCACAGCAATTCAATACCAATCTTTATGATATAGGAAACCCCTAAAGAGAGAGGGCAAGACAGACAGCCAGACATTCTAATACTGAGGGATTATGTGCTTTCCATGCTTAAAGGAACTGCCCCTTTCTCTAGTGCTGTGCGTCAGGCAACTCATCCGCAAGTGTAGTCTGGTAAGACTTCATGTTTCATGGCTACTCTTTTTTTTTTCCTAAGAAGGCACTGTAGGACAGGACGAGCCCAAAACTTCAAGGAAGCTATAGGTGTATGTATCTTTGGCTAATTGAGAACATTTTTTTTTTTTTTATCAGTACTGGGGATCGAACTCACAACCGCCTGCTTGGAAGGCAGGTGCTTATGCTACTGAGCTAAATCCCCAGCCCCATGTCTTTGGCTAATTGCTTCTGTTTACCTCCTTGCCAAAGGAGAACAGATGGCATCAGGCTTAATAACATGTCCCCCTGAGCAAGCTCCATCTACCCTCTGATCACCCTTGGGTCCCCAGGAATAGAGGGATCAAGCTTTCTCTGACAGGTTCAGCTGGTCGCACTTTAGCAGCCTGGTTCCATCAACGGCAGAGTGGAAGTACAAGTTGCTTTGACTTTGTAAGTCACATAACCACTTTCCATCATTCAGAGATTGCTGGGCTTCTCGGAACACAAAAGACCTGCTATTGTTAACATATTGACAACAGTTCAGTTTCTCCAATATCTAACCCGAGAAGGAACAGCAAAAATCCTTGGAGATAAAAAGTACACCCTTTACAGCATGTGATTCTTAAAAATTTTTATGCTTGATCTTGTTGCAGAAAGGACTAAAAGGGAGAGAAATCAGGCAGCTGACCACAGCTTTGCGGGTCAGCAACCCTAATGTGTAGCTCCAGGTCCCAGAGCTGGGGCTGGCATCCTAGTGAGTCTGCCCAGGAACCTCAAACCAGACAGACTGCATTCCAGGCCGCTCTGGGCCGAAAGCAGAATTTACACCTAATGGCCTCAGTTAAAGGGCCACACTAGGTGCAGGAGAAAGAATCCCTCTCCTCTCGCTTTGGAGAAGTCAAGTTTCTAACCAAGTTCAGTTGTTTTTATAAAATCAGATTTGACTGATATGTCTTAAGATTTAATGATCACACTGGTTAGAGAATGTGTACCTGAACGTGATATAACCTGTTTTTTTCCTGCTCCCCTGCCCTCCCTTCAACCCCTCCTCCACTTACAAAAGCTTTGTTTCTATGTTTTCCTTTTCTCTCTGTTTTCCCCTTTCCTTTCTCCTAGTCCTCTCCCTTGCTCCCTTCCCCATTTGAACATTTTGTCCTTATACTTTCAGTTTTCTCACACCAGAGAAAATGCAGTGCTTACACGTGTGTGTCCAATTTATTTCACCTAAGAGTATGGACTGAAGGCCAAGTTCACTTTTTAAACCTGTCCTGCGGCACACTGTGTTGAATGACAAAGGTTAGTGAGATAACAAGGAAAAAACTGTATTAGGGATTACAGGTTATAAATCCAAGAGGCATCATTGTGGTTTCTCTCTCTACTCTTTCCTTTTTCTTTTCCTCAAAACTGAGGTGATAACCCAAGACTTCCCCAAACCTGCTTCTCACATGACTGCATCATTTGGATAAAAAGTTTTGTGAACAACACAGGCTCACTAGTCTATCACTGAAAGGGCTCCTTGAAAGTTGGCTTTCTACATTCCCTACGAAAGATTATAAAGGCAAGGAAATGAACCATTGGGACACCAATTCTCTGAAAGCCCTAATCACAATGTCACACCCTGCTGTGACATCTGTAGGGTCACACTAGGAGTCTGGTGTTTCTTTAGCTATTCAGAGCTTATCTTCTCTCACAGTGGGAGAGGAAGCGGCCTGGCGGCATCTTCTCTTCAAACCCCAGGGCCATCACAGATAACTTACACATCCACAGTATCGGGAGTTTGGTCATTAATAGAGTAAGTTTATTAAACTAGCCATTGCAGTCCTTTTGGTGCTGCCTTTGAACTGTGCTACTATGGATACTGAAGGAATAAAGCATCACCTGGCTAATCAAAATTCAGCTTTATTCAATGAGAACCATCATCATTACCAACCCATCCTGATTTTAAAACATTTCAGTCACCAGTGGTTGGAGCAAACCTGTAATCCCAGCATTCAGGGATTACATTCTTTGAGGCACAAAGAAGGAGCACCTTGAGTTCAAGACCATTCTGATTGGGCCAGGGATATAGCTTAGTGGTATAAGCACCTGCCTGGCAAGCACAAGGTCCTGAGTTCATATTCCCAGTATCCCCCTACCAAAAAAAAAGCCTGACTATATAGTCGAAAATTCTTAAAATATAAGTAGATAAAAAATAAAATTTAATGAGTCAACCAGGTATGGTATCACACACCTCTAGCTCCAGGTATTCAGGAGGTTGGAAGCTTTAAAGCAGCCAGAGTCTGATGAGAAGACAGGCAGGGAGAGTAGCAGTTCAAGCCAGGTGTAACTGCTATGACACAGCTTTGCACAGGATGTGGGGGAAACACCGACCAGAAGAGAACCCATGAGCCAGGAGGACATCCCAACAGAGGCAATGTCTGCCTCTTGAAAGTGTCAGCCAGGAATAAAAGGGGAGAAGAACCTGCTTATGGAAAGATATGCAATACTTTAAGCTCACAGAACAATTCACACCTTCCGTGCGAGCCTTGGGTGCATGCCTTGGGTGCATGCGGAGAACTCAGCTGAGCAGGAGGAGCCGGTAGGGTCCAAATGCTAAATGCAGTAGAGAGCCATGGTCTTCAGTTAGGAAGTGACAAATCAAATCTACATTTTATACCTACTGTTCGGATAGCAGTGAGGATGGGCTGGACCACAGTGTGGGGAGAAACACACAGCACTCCAGCAGAAGAGCCAACAGGCTCTGTTCAGGCTCTGCTCCCCACTCAGATGAAAATGGTATGTTTGCAGTCCCAGCTATTCAGGAAGTTGAGGCAGGAGGGTCCTATGAGGCCTTGAGTTTAGTCAGTCTGGGTAACACAATGAGACTCCATCTCAGAAAAATAAAGTAAATAAAGACATGAGGGAAGGAAGTAGAAAAGAGGGCAGAGAAGTTGTTCAATATGTTTTTGTTTGTTTTAGATACGTTGCATTGAGGTTAAATACATGCAAACAGGAACAAGTTACTGGGCTGGTTTCAGGCAATAGTTAGTGCCTAATATCATTTTGAATGAAGTGCACAATGTCACATACAGCAGAATTGCTTAAAAACAAAAACAAAAACCCTGTATTTGACCAAGGATCCAACTAACAATTCAGAAAAACAAAGGACAACAAGCCATAATTTACTTTTTTGTTCTTTCTCAGCTTTTTACAGATCAAAATCATGTTCCAATTTCTCCATATTTTCACCATTTCTACTTGATTTATTTTACTTTTGATGGGTAGCCATCTTAATAGGTTTGAGTGGCTATAATTTTTACAAATTTTATGAAATGGGATAATAGCAAATGTTTAGAACATGATAAATGTCAGATATCTAACAATGTTGAAAAAAGTATAAACAAATTCTTCTCTGCCTTCATAAATGAGAAAGACAAAAATCAGACAAATCCCAATATTGTGTTCTATAAATTCACCCATATGCAGGTACACCATTAGTGATACAAGTTTTTACTACAGCATCAGCAAATTACTGATATTATATTCACCTTCTAAAAGAAATCTGCAGTATTAAGGACTGGAAAGTACAAAGCTGAACCCAAAGAAATAGATCATTTGCTGGGCATGGTGGTATGTGCCTGTAATCCCAGCACTCAGGAGGCTGAGACAGGAAAATCAACCTGAGTTTGAGACCCTGCCTCAAACCGCCTCCCACACACAAAAGAAGTTATTAATGGTAACATTCCAGGTAGGACTGTGTTAAAGCTTATAGATATAAGATAGATGCTTTCCTAGAGTCTCATGTGCTCATAGATTGGGCCTTTGGGAGGTGACTGCATCGTGGGTGTGGTACTGGGTTAGTCCACTGATTGGTTTATCATAGTTCTGAGTATAGATAATGGTAAGCTCACCTTGGGTGTGGGGTGGCACCAACCAAAAGGGATAGGAAGGCTTGCTGCCTCCTGCCTGCTTTGCCATGGGCTGTTTCTCCTCTACCCTGCCATCCTGCCTTGGTGCTAGCTGACTATGGATTTAGCTGAAACCTCTTCAAACTGTGAGCTGAAGTAAACCTTTCCTCTCTTAACTTGGGTATTTTGTCTCAGCAATGAGACAAGTAATGAAGACAGTCATATACCCCCTCCAGTCCTTGCAAAAACAAGACTGAGAACCTCAAAATACAAATGAAGAGCAAACTAAAAGACAAAGAGTAGGAAACAAGGACCTCTTTTGCAAAAGAGAAAGGGATCAAGAGATGAAGCAGGAGCGGCAAGACAGGAAGGAAGTGAAAAGAGAGTTCAGAGGTACTTTGTACTTGTACTGAATGCAATCATGTATTATAAACTTGTACTAATAAAATTAAAAACATATTTGCTATTGAGCCAACCTATCAACCAATTTTTGTTCCAAAGATATAAGAATGTTGATTAAATAACATCTAAGAGAAGCTAATTTCACCTTTATTCACTGCTTCAAAGTAGAGGCTGAAAATTAGCCTAAGATCCAGATCTGTCAACAGACACAATCTATAAAGTCAACAGTTTTTACTGTATGTTCTATGTTGCAACGTAAGAGAACTTCTATAAAAGGAAAACAAATTGCTATAAACCAAACATACTAAAATATCCAGGTTACAAAATAGACCAGTACTGGTAACTGAGAAGTCTCGTTACCGAACACAATTGCCTATATATAGTTTGGGGGTTTGTTTTGTTTTGTTTTTGTACCAGGGATCAAACTCACAACCTTGTGCTTGCCAGGCAGGCGCTTACGCTTCTGAGCTAAATCCCCAGCCCTAGTTTGGTTATTATTGAGATACATTTATATATCCTAAAATGTATCCTTTTAGAATTTAGAATTTATGATTCAGTGGTTAATACATTCACAAGTATACATTCATCAACACTAATTCTAAAAGAAACTTGTACCCACTAGGGTCACTCCCCATACCCCTCAGTCTCTGGGAACCACTAATCTGTTTTCTCTATAGATTTGTCCATTCGAGACATTTCAAATACATGGAGTCAGACATGTAGCTGTTTGTGTCTACCTCCTCTTAGTATAATGTTTTCAAGTTATCTATGTTGTTATCCAATTTAGTACTTTATCCTTGATGGCTGAATACTCCACTGAATATATCATTTTTCTTGTCCATTCATCAGTTGAGGGGCATATGAACTATACCTCTTGACTAGTATAAATAATATTGCTGTGACCATCTGTATATGTTTTTGTGTGGACATATGTTCCCAATTCTGTGGGGAATGGAGCTGTCCAGCCATGTGGTATCTATGTTTTACTTTTTGAGGAGCTGGCAAACTGTTTTCTAAAATGGGCGCACTATTTTACATTCCCAGCAGTGGGAGACAGTTCCAATCTCTACATCCTCACCAACATTGTCTTTTTGATTATAGCAAGCTTGAGGTATGAAATAGTATTTCATATAGTTTTTATTTGCATTTCCCAAATGACTAATATGTTCATTAGTGTGCACCAATGTGCTTCTTTGGAGAGAGATCAATTCAATCTATTGCCATTTTTTATTGGTTTGTTTTATTATTCAATTTTTTTTGGTCAATTTTGATTTTGGTGACTTAGATGGATGGGATAGCTAAGAAACTGTTGCCTACCAAAGTCAAAAAAATCACTCCTATGTTTTCTTCTCAAAGTTTTATAGATTTAGCAATACATTTAGGACTTTGGTCCATTCTAAGTTTTAGACTTTTTAAAATTTTGTTTCTTTAATGGTATTGAGGATTGAATTCAGGATCTATTAAGCTATATATTCTTGATTCTTTTAAGTTTTTTTTTTTTTCTTATTTTGTGATAGGCTCTAAATTGTCCAGTCTGCCCTTGTCTTGTAATCCTCCTGCCTTAGCCTCCCACAGAGCTGGGATTACAGACATGGGGTACTAGCCCTAGCCTGAGTTAACTTTTATATATGCTACGAAGGTGGAGGTCCCAATTTACTTTGGGCTTTAAGAAGATTCTTTCCCTATTGACTTTGTTGGTCAAATAAAGAAAACCTTGCAAGTGGGACTTCTAGGCAACTTCCAGAATAATGAGATTGTCTTGGAATGGCCTCTGAAGGAGCCTCCGCTCCGGTGTCATTCCAGCTCCTGGTTTTCATTCCAGTCATAAGCTGTTGGTCTTCCCAGCTACTAGGTGAGCTAGGAAAGGGCACTGTGGGGATATGGTGGGTGAAATGTCACACAGCTTAATTCTTGCTCAGCCTCACAAGTGTTTTTTGTGAAATTCTTTCTAGATTGCTGCAAGCCTTAATTGCTAGAGCTTTGAAAAGGTTGATTCTGGCAACTGTTGCAAATCTCTCATTTCCTTTTATATGAAAGAATTTTTGGAGGTCCTATACCACCATTTTCACTGATGTTACTATATGCATTTTGAAACAACTCAGATGTCCCATGAAAGTAGATTTCTGGCTTCTATTTTAAAAAATCAGAGATAAGAAGATAGAATATATACTCCTTCACACACAACAGTACTGCCTGAGGAATGCTCTGTGGTTTCCTGAACAGGTGCCTTTCCAGGTACCTTTCTGCCTCAGGATCTTTGTACTGACTGACTGCCCTGCCCCTGGAAAAATACTCTTCTTCCAGATAGGCTGCTTTCATAAATCACTGTAAGGGTTATAATGGTTCAAAAATCAAAGTATCAAGAGAACAGGGAGTTCCTGAAATGCAAAGGAACCAAGATTACAGGTCAAAGGAACTAACCTATCAGGTACATTAATTTACAGAAAGATTGTGTCAAGTACTAAGGAAAAAAAGCAAGAGGAGCTAGGTGTGGTGGCACACACCCACAATCCCAGCACTCAGAAGGCTGAGGCAGGAAAAAATCAGAAATTCAAGTCTATCTACAAGATCTGGTCTCAAAAAATAACACTGTTTGTAAAAAGCATAGCACCAGAGATATAGCTTAGCAGCACAGCACCTGCCTGGCAAGTGCAAGGTCGAGTTTGAATCCTGGTACCAAAACAAACAAACAAACAAAAAAGGAAAGCATTGTGTTTATAATCCCAGTAGGATGCTGGGGCAGGAGGAATTAGGAGTTTGAAGTCAATCTGGACTACATAGTAAATTCAAGGCCAGTCTACACTATGAAGCAAGACTCTGTCTCAAAATCAAACAGAAAAAAAGGGGCTGGGGATTTAGCTCAGCGGCATAAGCGCCTGCCTTTTCAAGTGTGCGGTTGTGAGTTTGATCCCGATAAAAACAAACAAACAAAAAAAACCCATAAATATATAAAATCAATATAAAGAAAAAAACCAAAATATATACAAGCAGAACACCTATGTGGCAGAAAATTACATGAAAGACAAGTTTTGAAAACACAGATGGGGCTGGGGGTTTAGCTCAGCAGCACAAGCGCCTGCCTGGCAAGTGCAAGATCATTAAGTTCGATCCTCAGTACCAAAAAAATAGAAGCATAGATAAACTTAAAAAGTCACAGGGCTATGGTTTTAGTTCAGTGGTAGAGCACCACCACAAAAAAAAAAAAAAAAAAAAAAAAAAAGGGAAGACAGCAAGCCATGGGAAGACTTTAAACCAAAGAGAAACACATATTAGAATCTCAGAAATGTCACTCTGGTGGTAATGAAGAACATGTTGAGGAAAGCAAAAATAATTCAAGAGATTATCAGTTGAACTCTATACCATGTAGGTATCATTATAGAGAAGAATTCCAGTCATTTAAGAAGTAGTCAGCAAGACTTAGTGGTCAACAGATGTGAGGAACAAAACAAGAAAATTGTTGGAATTGTCTTGAGTTGGTAGACAGTAATAATGTAAAATAGACCATGAAAAGACAGCAGAAAATGCATGAGGAAGAAGATGAAATAAAGTTTGTTTGGAATATGATGGGTCTGAGAGACCTGAAAGCGTGAGAAGAGGCTTTTTAGAACAAAGATGCAAACAGCAAGGCTTTCTAGAGCGGCAGAGCCGGGCAGAGCCGTAAGAGTACAGGAAGTGGAGAACAGTCGCGTAAGGAGAGAACACCGGGATGCGGGAATGTCTCAGGACTGAAGAGGAAACCCTTGCAAGAGATGCAGGAAGGACAGGTAAGTGGAGAGCAGCATCCAGAAGAGAGTGGAGTGCTGGGCATAAGAGATGATTCCAGGGATAAAGCAGTCAGCTGTCAGCAAAGTAGAGGCTGATAAATCAGCGCCTGCTCAAGGTAGGAACAGCAGGAGGGAAGCCAGGCTAAAGCATCCCCATCATACCGCTCCACTTACAAGACCTAATGTTTTCTTCCAGTCACTGAATGCAAATACAGATGCCTGAGCTCACATATCAGTCGGTTCCAAGTAACAGCTCTCTGCTTAAGATCCTTATGTTTAAACAGCTATTTCAGACACCTATCAAAAATCCTTTAAAAGCAAAAGAGATTCTTGGGTCTCACCTGGTTTCAACCTACGATTCCTATTCTATCTGCACCTGCCAAGTGGATCAGGAGGAATTTGTCTTTAACTTAGTTGATTTTTTTTTCTTAGCAGTACTGTGATCAAACCCAGGACCTTCACAGTGAGATGCATCCCCTACTCTTTTTCATTTTGAGACACAGTGTTGCTAAGTTGCCCGGGCAAGACTTGAATTTGCAATTTTTCTGCCTCAGCCTTCTCCAAGTGCTCAGTAGCCCAATTGAGAAGAATCACAATAACGGCCAAATGATTTCCTAAACTGGATCCGTGACCTGACCATAGAGGCAAGTTCTTGTAGACAGCTGTCTTGGTGACTGTGGGTGTTTCAGTACTATGGCTCAGTCAAATTACCAAAATTACACCAAGATTATGGTGCTTGCATCTTATCACAGCTATACAAGAGGCTGAAGCAGGAAGATCATTAAGTTTGAGGCCAGCCTGGGCAGCTTAGCTAGACTAAAAAGGAATTGGGGAAAGCCAGGTGTAGTGGCATATACCTGTGATCCTAGCACTCGGGAGGCCAAAGCCAACCTGGGCTACAAAGTGAATTCAAGGCCAGCCTAGGCTACATAGCGAGATCCTATCTCAAAAAAAATCAAAAAATTTTGCAAGCGCAAAGTCATGAGTTCGATACCGGGTACCAAAAAAAAAAAGTAGTAAAATAAAATAATAAAAACAAAAAGGAATTGGAGTATAGTTCACTACTGGTCTACCATGGGTGCATCCCTAACATCAGAAGGAAAAACAACAACAAACAACGATAAGTACAATAGAGGCTTCATAGGGTTAATCCTGGCTCACATCCATCTTTACCCACATAACACTTACCTGCTTCTAATGAGAAAAGGACAGATAGTCATGGCTGTCAGAGCTGCCTAGCATCAGGAGCAGATAAGCTGCTTCTGAGCCGTTCTGGAGCAATGGCTCTTAGTATTCATCAGGCCCCCTT